TGGTAGCGGGGTACAAATAAAGTTGTTTTATTATTATTATTATTATTATTATTATTATTAATTCAACATTTAAAATCTATATAAATAAAAAATGTAATGTTCGTTTGTGGGATTAACATAATTCAAAAACCACTGGGCGAATTCACACCAAATTTGGACACAATACACGTATCAGGCCAATGAGTGACCATCACTCATAAAAACACTGAACAACACAGCCGAAGAGACTTAAAAAGACAAGAAATCAAAAATATATTACAAGGCATGCACAAAACCATATATATACACAAACACACATATATACACACATACACAAATATATACAGACATATATGTTTATATATACACTCAAAACATATATACAGAAAGGGGGAAGGAAGGAAGGAAGGAAGGAAGAAGAAGGAAGGAAGGAAGGAGAGAAAGAAAGAAAGGAAAAAAGGGAAGGAAGGAAAGAGGGAGGAGAAGAAAGAAAGAAGAAGGAAGGAGAGAAAGAAGAAAGAAGGGAAGGAAGGAAGGAAAAAAGAAAGGTAGAGAAGGAAGGAGAGAAGGAAGAAAGAAAAAGAAGGAGAGGAGGGAGAGAAGGAAAGAAAGAAAGGTAGAGAAGGAAGGAAGGCGAGAAGGAAATAAAATAGAAGGAAGGATAAGGAAGGAAAAAGAAAAATGAAAGAAAAAGGAAATAGTAGGGTTTCTGCATTGAGAAGGTGGTCTAAAGACAGAAATGGTGATGTAAGAGAATGAATGCATTTAAATCCAGTTTCTGTCTCGTGACTCCATATGCAAAGTAAGGAAGAAGAAAGAGAAGGAGAAAGAAGAAAGGAAAGAAAAAGAGGGAAGGAAGGAAAGAGGGAGGGAAGGAGTGAAAGAAGGAAGGAGAGAAAGAGGGAGGGAAGGCTGGCCACAGCAATGCGTTGCGGGTACAGCTGGTGTAATATAAAAGAAACAATAATATCTAAAAACAAAATCCTTGGCATCTCCCTACTAAAATCGTTGTCCAATTGCATCGTTGGTCGTTCCCATCAAATGACAGCCCAAATTATGCTTTACCTTGACTCTGAACTCTGCCTTTGTGCCTAGGAAGGGTTTTCTAGGAGGCTCCACTGTTACGAGAGCAGACTGAACCTTTGTTTCATTCTTCCGATTCCTCATTCAATCCTCAAATTTCATCTGATTTATACAGAGGATTTAACTTAAGTGGCTGGGAACTTGTACACTGTTATCAGCGACCCTCATAAGGTCTGAAGGATTAGAAGGCAAACCCTCACTTTCTAGCCCAGTGAGATCCCATTTGCTGAACGTGAAGGCTTGTTGATTAACCTCCTTCTACTGTTTCCACTGCATTTGTTTTTACCCTTTGGTTCACATCAAAAGCAATTTGTTCATCTTATACATTTCTCAGAAAGTCTATTTTTGTTTTCATTCTTTTTGTGGCACAGCTGGTTGGGAGCCAGCTGCATTAAAATCACTACTAACTGAGAGGTTATGAGTTCGAAGCCAGCCCAGGTCGGAGTGAGCTTCCGGTCATTTATCTAGCTTGCTGTCAACCTTTGCAGCCCAAAAGACAGTTGCATTTGTCAAGTAGGAAATTTAGGTACCGCTTATGCGGGGAGGCTAATTTAACTAATTTACCATGCCATAAAAAACTCTCCAGCAGTGTGCAAAAGAATAAGGAAGTACTCCATCGGTGTCACAAGTGGATGGTGAAGTGACAGCTCCCCCAGTGGCTGGAATTCATACTACTAATAATATTACAATACGATGGTATAATACGATATAGTAATATTTAATACTGATATCGTACTATGCTAATAATATAATATATTGTATGTATATATATCTCGTAAGTTGTTCTGTACAAGAAATAAAGAAATGCAAAAAGAAATGTGAAATCAATGTGAAAAATTGACTCAGTGTGACTAAAATTGACTACTATCCTATGCAATACAGTACATAGGATACATGTGAATTGCTCTTCTTCAGGTGGTAAATAAAATGGTGAAATATGTAACCAGTAATGACATACTTAACTAATAGCAATAGCTGTAGCACAGAATAGCTCTTACAGAAACTGTAAATTAAATAATTGGTTCTGGTGGTCCATGCCTTAGTTACATCCAGGTTGGATTACTGCAATGCACTCTACGTGGGGCTACCTTTGAAGACGGTCCAGAAACTGAAACTGGTGCAAAGGTTGACAGCCAGGTTGCTAACTGGAGCTAAGTATAGGGAGCACATTGCACCATATGTAAGCTGAGCGGAGTCCCTTCAGGACGATGGAGGCAGGGTACAAAACTAAAGTTCTTCTTGTTGTTAGTTGTTCTTATGCATTTAATTTAATTTTAAAGATTTTTCATGGAATCCCCATAATGCTTTTGAAAGACCCCAGGGTTCCATGGAACACAGTTTGGGAACCGCTGTTCTAGACCACACTCCTCATTGGGTTGTTGTAGGGTTTTCCGGGCTATCTGGCCATGTTCTAAAGGCATTTTCTCCTGACGTTTCGCCTGCATCTATGGCAAGCATCCTCAGAGGTAGTGAGGTCTGTTGGAACTAGGAAAAAGGTTTATATATCTGTGGAATGACCAGGGTGGGACAAAGGACTTTTGTCTGCTGGAGCTAGGTGTGAATGTTTCAACTGACCACCTCATTCAACTGACACTCCTCATTCATTAGCATTAGGGTCACAGAAGCCACACGAAAATTAAAAACCATACATTTTTAAATTGTCTTTTTAAAAAAAATCCAGAAAAACACCTCTCTAGGAATTTTTAGGTCCTGCAACATGACTCTGTGTCCAACATTCAAGATCTGCTGGATGTTACAATACAATCTCACTGGAGGACCTAGAGATCTATAGAGAAAACATTTTAATCTGCCAATAATTAAATCCCCAAAACCTGCACATAGAATCATAGAATAATAGAGTTAGAAGAGACCTCATGGGCTATTTAGTCCAACTCCCTGCCATGCAGGAAAAAACACAATCAAAGTACCCCTGACAGATGGCCATCCACATGTAGAATGACAACTTTATTTACAGTCTCAACTTCATACTGAACAAGTTTTCCTAGATGGAAGCCCCAATGAGTTCAGTGAGTTTTACTTCCTGATAAGTATGTCTGAGATAGCAGCTCTGAAATGGAAGTGATTTATGCAAAGATGCAAGGCTGTTTTCTTGATTGCATCTATGTGTGTTTTTGTGCTAATGACCTATATTTGCTAACGACACCAGATTCCATCTCATCATGGAAGCTAAGTAGGTCAGCCCTGGTTATAATAGTTGGACGGGAGATTGCCAGCAAATTCCAGGTGCTGTAGAATCTATTTTGGAGGAAGAAACTGCCAAAACTGCCTCTGAAGGTTCCTTGCCTTTTAAAAAACCTTATGGCTTTTATTCTGCTGCCATAAAGACACAGAAACACATATATACACACACTATTTTTGGTGGATTTTGCAGGTTTTTATTAGAAACTAACTTGGGGACCTGGCGCTGCCCAGGTAATTTGAGAAAGGCATGATTTGTCTTTGGGTTGCAGTGGTCTCAAGAAGTGAGTGAAGACATCCATGGTCCAAACTCTTCCAAACTTCCCCAGGATGTAGAGTGGGTCATGGGGGCTCTCTGTGCCTAGTTCAATCTTGATCCTTCATTGGTGAGAGTTGCTGTCATCTCAGGAAGTGTGTGAAGGTACTGTAAGTACCATAATCCATGGTCCATTCTTCGTCAAACCACAGCAGGATGTACAGTGGATCATGGTGGCTCTGTGTTGCAAGTGTGGTCCTGATCCATCATTGGATGAGGGTTGCAGTGGTCTCAGGATGTGAGTGAAGATACTGCAAACCCCATCATCCATTATCTGTCCTCCTTCAAACTGCACCAGGATGTAGAATGGGTCATGGGGGCTCTGTGTGTGAAGTTTGGTCTTTCTTGGTCATTGGATGAGGGTCACAGTGGTCTCAGGATGTGAGTGAAGATACTGCAACCCCCATCATCCATGATCTGTCCTCCTTCAAACTGCACCAGGATGTAGAGTGGGTCATGGGGGCTCTGTGTGTGAAGTTTGGTCTTTATCGGTCATTGGATGAGGGTCGCAGTGGTCTCAGGATGTGAGTGAAGGTACTGCAAGTCCCACCGTCCATGGTCTGTCCTCCTTCAAACTGTACCAGGATGTAGAGTGGATCATGGGGTTTCTGTGTGCCAAGTTTGGTCTTTATCCGTAATTGGATAAGGGTCGCAGTGCTCTCAGGATGTGAGTGAAGGTACTGCAAGTCCCATCATCCATGGACTGTACTCCTTCAAACTGCACCAGGATGTAGAGTGGATCACAGGGGCTCTGTGTGTCAAGTTTGGTCTTTATTGGTCATTGGATGAGGGTTGCAGTGCTCTCAGGATGTGAGTGAAGGTACTGCAAATCCCATCATCCATGGTCCATCCTCCTCCAAACTGCACCAGGATGTAGAGTGGGTCATGGGGGCTCTGTGTGTCAAGTTTGGTCTTTATCGGTCATTGGGTGAGGGTTGCAGTGTCTCAGGATGTGAGTGAAGGTATTGCAAGTCCCATCATCCATGGAGTGTCCTTCAAACTGTATCAGGATGTAGAGTGGGTCATGGTGTTTGTGTGTGTGTGAAGTTTGGTCTTTATCGGTCATTGGATGAGGGTCGCAGTGGTCTCAGGATGTCAGTGAAGATACTGCAAGTTCCATCATCCGTGGTCTGTCCTCCTTCAAACCACAGCAGGATGTAGAGAGGGCCATAGTGGCTCTTTGTGCCTGGAAATCACCTGGAAATCCAGGAGAGCATTTGTGTAAGTTTTGGCTTCCACTTCTGAGATGCTTGACAGTGTTATGATCTTTAGAACTGCTCAGGTGGTTCCTCCGTCATTTACATTACATTTCAATTTGCGAAGGTGTGTTTTGAAAAAATAATGTGATAAGCTGTTGCACTAAAGATGCCAGTTAATATGCCAGACAGGTTTGGACTGAAATTGCACTTTGTTTCTATTCTAGCTTGTGACCGCTGGTCTGTGCTTTCACCACCCGATCTTCCCAACGATATCAACAGGTTTGGACATTCGGCCGTGCTGCACAACAAGTAAGAGGCCAAAATACCTGGTGTGTGTTTGTGTTTGTGTAAACGGGAGGAAAGCCTGGGGAGAAGGGATCCCACGCTCCTATTTATGAATATTTGGCCACAGAGCACATTGAAAGCTATAGGACCCTAAAGGGCAAGACCAGAAGCCCTGTTTTTGTCCCTGCTGTTTGGGACACCTGCCAACAACTATTTGTGGCCATTATAGCTTTCTATCAATGCTACCGAGGAACAAGGTTAGACAACTTATGGATCTCAAGATATATTGGAATGCAATAATAATAATAATAATAATAATAATAATAATAATAATAACTGGATGATATGGACAGAAAAGCAAGAAAACTGATGACAATCCACTGCTCATGACACCCGCGTAGTGATGTCGACAGACTTGACCTGCCCAGAAAATCAGGAGACAGAGAGAGGGCTTCTGCAAATGAAACAAACGGTAGAAGAAGAGAAACATGCACTGGCAGATTATGTGAAAGGCAGTCAAGAACCAACATTGAGGGAAGTCAATAGTAGTAAACTGCTTCAAGTGCAAAAGACAAAGAGTGAATACCGTAAAAACACAATCCAGAGCAGAAGAGAAAACTGGCAAAAGAAGGCTCTCCACTGACAGTTCCTGGGAAAAATTGAGAGCCAAATTGACAAAGAAAAAACATGGCTGTGGCTCACAAATGGAACTTTGAAAAAGGAGACAGGATGGCAGCCCAAGAACAAGCCATTAGAACAAATGCCATCAAAGCCAGAATTGAAAAGTCAACGACAGATCCCAAGTGTAGACTCTGCAAGGAAGCAGATGAAACAATAGATCCCATCCTCAGCTGCTGCAAGAAGATCGCGCAGACAGACTACAAGCAGAGGCATAACACCGTTGCTCAGATGATTCATTGGAACTTGTGCCACAAATACCATCTGCCTGCGACAAAGAACTGGTGGGATAACAAGCTGGAAAAAGTTACAGAAAATGAACACGTCAAACTTCTCTGGGACTTCCAAATTCAGACAGACTTTTGGAGTACAATACTCCTGACCTCACAATCTTGTTAAACAACAAAGTATGGATTGTCGATGTTGCAATTCCAGGTGACAGCAGGATTGAAGAGAAACAACCGGAAAAGATGGCACGATATAAGGATTTAAAGAATGAACTGCAAAGACTCTGGCACAAGCCAGTCAAGAGGGTCCCAGTGATGATTGGTACACTGGGTGCATTGCTTAAAGACCTTGGCCTGCACTTAAACACAATCGGCACTGACAAAATTACCATCTGTCAGCTGCAAAAGGCCACCCTACTGGGATCTGCACGCATTATTCGCCGATACATCACACAGTCCTAGACACTTGGGAAGTGTCCGACGTGTGATCCAATACAAAAGCCAGCAGAGTGATCTTGTTTGCTCTGTGTACTAATTTTGTTGTGTTTCAAATAATAATAATAATAATAATAATAATAACAATAACAACAACAACAACAACAACATGTATTATTATGACAATGTAGTATAACTGTGTTGTGCCCCCTTCAAGGCGTAAGGAGAGTAACGTCATTAATAATAATAATAATAATAATAATAATAATAATAATACTTTTATTTATGACCTGGCTATCCTTACAGCTTGAAGTGGAATACATCAGTCAGAATACATTATAATAATAAAATACATTCAATAAGAAGCACATATTAAACATATTTCTATAAAATACAAATTCTAAAATACATAGGACAAAGATTAAAACACAATAGACATAGAATGTCAATTTAAAATTCGGTTTTAAATGTGAATTTAAAAGTGACTGGATGGGCCTGCTGGAAGAGATAGGTCTTCAGTTGCATCTTGAATTCTTGACAGCTGATTTAGCTGTCAGATAGCAGTGAGCACCATATTCAATCCTGGCGAGACTGGAGCTCTAATGTGGATTAAATCGAAATGCTTTGTACAAAGATGCAAAAGGTATTTTCTTGATTGTAATGTGCTTTGCATCAAGGTATTTTTTATGCTAATAGATAAAATACTTTACAGGCAGCCGATTCCATCTGATCCTGGAAGTTAAGCAGGATCAGTTCTGATTAGTACTTGCAAGGGAGCCTGCCAATAGATACCATATGCTGCTGGCTATGTTTCGGGGGAAGGAACTGGCACAGCCACCTCTGAGGATTCTCAGAGGCATGGTTGTTTGAATGGAGATATTAGTAGGGCTTTCACTGAAAATGCTTCCATGACAGCTTTTAGAAACTCAGATTTCCTGTACTGACAACCATTTAGTGTGGGAAATGGTTGTGCTAGACACATCTTAACACAGTAGGAAAAGAGAAGACTACATTACAGGTGGATCAACTCCATCAAGGAAGCTATGGATGTCCTGTGTTTGCAAGACCTGAGGTGGGCTCATGATGATCGAGGTTCTCAGAAGACATCTGTAGGGAGACCAAGGTGCTTGTTTATGAAGCTATTGTCCTCCCAACTCTGTGAAATGTGGACTGTCTACGGATGTCACACTCAATTCCTGGAAGGATTCCATCAGCGTTGCCTCCGAAAAATCTCTTGGGAAGAAGACAGGCGGCCAAATGTCATCGTGCTGGAAGAAACAAAGAAGTGATGCTCCTACGCCATCAACTCCATTGGACTGGCCACATTGTCTGAATGCCCGATCACTGTCTCCCAAAGCAGTTACTGTACACCCAACTCAAAAATGGGAAACGTAACGTTGGTGGACAGGAAAAGAGATTTAAAGATAGGCTTAAAGCCAACCTTAAAAACTGTGGCATAGACATTGAGAACTGGGATGCCCTGGCCCTTGAGCATTCTAACTGGAGATCAACTGTGACCAGCAGTGCTGCAGAATTTGAAGAGGCACAAATGGAGGGCAAAATGGAGAAATTTGCCCTTTCAAGCAAAGCCTGACCAGGACCACCTTCCACCAATGTCCTTACTGCAGGAGAACATGCAGATCAAGAAAAGGCCTCCAAAGCCACCTACAAATCTACCACCAAAACACCAGATTTGGAGGACCATCATCCTCGGACTATGAGAGATCACCCAAGTAAGTAAGTAAGTCTCGGAAATCTCTCAGGATTGCTATAGGTTGAAGCTGATTTGATGGAGATCAAATAAAACAGCAATTTTGGGGTCAGACATCTAAATTACATAATTATGCAGAACACATCATGCGATGTACGGGGATTGACTAATGTAAGGCTGGAGTCGAAATAAATGGAAGAAACATTCACAACCTTAGATATGTAGATGATACCACTTTGATGGCCAAAAGCGAGGCAGAACTGAGGAGTCTTCTAATCAAGGTGAAGGGAGAAAGTGTAAAAGCTGGGTTGCAGGGAAAGGGAGAAAGTGTAAAAGCTGGGTTGCAGTTAAACATAAAAAAACCCCCAAGATTATGGCAACAAGAATGATTGACAACTGGGAAATAAAGGAAGAAAACATGGAGGCAGGGACAAGGTTTGTATTTCTATGTGCGAAGATGATTTCAGATGCAGACTGAAGCCAGGAAATCAGAAAACTATTATTATTATTATTATTATTATTATTATTATTATTATTTCTTGCATTTCTATCCCGTCCTTCTCAACCCCGAAGGGGGACTCAGGACGGCTTAGAATGGGCCCCGTTACTAAGCCATTACATAACAAATTACAGTAATTAAAACCACAATTAAACATAAAAGCATAATTAACAATACATAAGCCATCATTAAAACAATAAAACAGTCTCATCAGCCATATCGTCATTCCAGTCACATTCCCTTAAAGTGCTGCTTGTATCTATTGTCCAAAAGCTTGGCCCCAAAACCATGCCTTTAATTTCTTTCGAAAAGCTAGGAGGGAGGCGGCCGATCTTACCTCAGTTGGAAGTGTGTTCCATAGGCGGGGGGCAACCGCCGAGAAGGCCCTGTCTCTCGTCCCTGCCAGGGACGTCCCCGCTGTTGATAGAAGTGAGAGCAGGGCCTCCCCAGATGATCTTAGGTTTCGAGGTGGGACGTAGGGGTGGATGCTTTTGGACAAGTAACTGGGCCAGAACTGTATAGAGCTTTATAGGTCAGAACCAGCACTTTGAATTGGGCTCGGAGGTTTACTTCTTGGGAGGACCAATCTCGATAAAATAGTGAAGAGTAGAGACATCAAACTGGCAATAAGATCTGCATAGTTATAGCAATGGTATTCCCCGTAGTCACCTACAGATGTGAGAGCTGGACCAAAAGGAAGACTGAGCAAAGGAAGAGAGGTGCTTTTGAACTGTGGTGTTGGAGGAAAGTTCTGAGAGTGCCTTGGACCACGAGAAGATCCAACCAGTCCATACTTCAGGAAATAAAGCCCGACTGCTCACTTGAGGGAAGGATATTAGAGGCAAAGATGAAGTACTTTGGCCACATCTTGAGAAGACAGAAAAGCTTGGAGAAGACAATGATGATGGAAAGAAATGGAAGGAGAAAGGAAGAGGGACCGACCAAGGGCAAGATGGATGGATGGTATCCTTGAAGTGACTGGATTGACCTTGGAGGCGCTGGGGGTTGTGACGGCCAACAGGGAGCTCTGGCGTGGGCTGGTCCATGAAGACACGAAGTCACGACTGAACGAATGAACAACAAAAATGTTAGCACTTCTGCCCTTGTCCTCATTTCCACGGTAGATATGAAAGCTATATGCAATTTGGTTGCTTTCTTCTCACACGGAAGCATTCTCTCCATGTAGAGATAGAGAACGCATTACCTGTTGAACGGTCTCTCTTCTCCGTTGCCCATTGTTCTTGCTTCCTTAGCATTCTGCTCCCACGATAACGAGTGCCATGGGTTAATTGAGAAAGCACACTTTTACTAGTTTTGAAACATAACTGCTTAGCTCATTGAGTTTCGCCTTCTTCCTTGCTTTGAACAACAGTTTCCAGCTCAGCTTTTCCACCCCATTCGCTAGCTAATGTACCTCCTATCATAACAACATGCTTTTATCGCCTCTTGGAGAGCCCCCTCTTAAATCTTCTCCTCTTGGGCGAAAGCCATTCACAGCTTCTCTGTGTTTTCGGTGGCCCTTTTCTGAACTCTTTTCTTGTATCTACGGGGTTGCGTTTGACTTCAGCCATCCGTCTCTTAATCTGAACAGCCACAGGTGGCTTTTTTTGCCTTGAAATACCCAAAGAAGCCATTTTCACACTTCACAGATTCAGTTGAAAAGGCTGATTTTTTGAGGTCCTGGTCTCTCTCCTGTGCTTGTAAAGCTGAGCTAGGGGTTTGGTTTTTTTTGGGGTTAATGTGTGAACCTATGCTCCTCCTACATCACGAAAAGGAATTCTTCAATCAGAAATTATTCTGTAACATATGTGTATATCTTTGTATATCTGTCAATAGGTAGATAGGTATAAATATAAACCTAGATATCACCTTAAATTTAAGCTGATTGGGAAATCTAATAGGCATATTTTTGAAGTATTAGGTTGTCCAAGGCTGATGGAATTGGAGGTACAGATATCTATATAAATAAAAACGTAATGTTCGTTTGTGGGATTAACAGAACTCAAAAACCACTGGACGAATTGACACCAAATTTGGACACAAGACACCTAACAACCCAATGTATGTCCTTCACTCAAAAAAAATATGATTTTGTCATTTGGGAGTTGTAGTTGCTGGGATTTATAGTTCACCTACAATCAAAGAGCATTCTGAACCCCACCAATGATGGAATTGAACCAATCTTGGCACACAGGACTCCCATGACCAACAGAAAATACTGGAAGGGTTTGGTGGGCAGCGTCCTTTGGTTTTGGAGTTGTAGTTCACTGCGCCCAGAGATCACTGTGGGCTCAAACAATGATGGATCTGGACCAAACTCTACAAGAATACTCAATATGGTGGAGTTTGGGGAAAATAGAATCTTGACATTTGGAAGTTGCAGTTGCTGGGATTTATAGTTCACCTACAATCACAGAGCATTCTGAACCCCACCAATGGTAGAATTGGGCCAAACCTCCCACACAGAACCCCCTTATGGGCCACAGCAACACGTGGCAGGGAATGGCTAGTGTGTGTGTGTGTATGTGTGTGTGTATGTATGTATGTGTGTGTGTGTGTGTGTATTTATATATATATATAGGTAAAGGTAGTCCCCTGACATTAAGTCCAGTCATGTCTGACTCTGGGGTGTGGTGCTCATCTCCATTTCTAAGCCGAAGAGCCAGCGTTGTCGTAGACACTCCAAGGTCATGTGGCCAGCATGACTGCATGGAGCCACTGTTACCTTCCCGCCAGAGCGTTACCTATTGATCTACTCACATTGGCATGTTTTCGAACTGCTAGGTTGGCAGAAGCTAGGGCTGACAGTGGAAGCTCACACTGCTCCCCGGAATCGAACCTGCAGCTCAGTGCTTTAACCCACTGCGCCACGGGGGCTCCATATATATATATATATATATATATATATATATATAGGTGATCACGATCATCAGTGTTGATGATCGAGCCATCACCCCTCAAGCAGGGAGCTTTGAAATGGTTGAACAGAAGCTCTCCGTAGCTTTAGGTGTTCTTAATGTTCTTACTGCCTATTACAGAGAAAACCAACTGATTCCTAATCTGTCTAAAATGCAGACATGTGCTTTCATCTTCAGAACAGACAAGCATCTTGAGCTCTGAGGATGACCTGGGAAGGACTCCAACTGGAGCATTGCAGCACACCCAAATATCTGGGAGTTACTCTGGACAAATATCTGGGAGTTACTCTGGACCGTACTCTGACTTATACGAAGCACTGCTTGACAATCAAGCAAAAAGTGGGTGCTAGAAATAATATTGCAAGAAAGCTGACTGGCACAACCTGGGGATCACAACCAGACAAAATTAAGACATCTGTTGCACCTCTGAGTAAAATCACCTTGCTTAAGACACCAGAGAGCACACAAGCAGTAGTCTTTATGGTTTACTAAAGTTAAAGACAAAAAGTTCAAAAAGGCGAAGGTATATTCCAAAAGATCAATCCAAGGTAACATAGGCAAACAAGATCCATGAAGACACAGGCAAAGCAAAGTCCCATGAGAACATGACAAAGTCCTGAAAACATGAACATGAAAGCAACAAAATAAATCCAAAGTCTCTTGGATGAAGCGGGAACTTGCTCTGACACTGAGGCATATTCAAACAGCCTATTTAATACTCTTTGGACAACATGATGGCCCCGGGCCTCCCTCTCTCACCTGCTAGCGATTCTGACACTCCTTCGAACCTTAAATTCCAAATGATCAGCTCGATCTAAACCTCCAGCTTCATCAAGGTCAATTCCCTCGTTAGTGCTTTTCCCCTCTTTATCTGCACCTCAATCAGTGGCTGATACCAGATGAGAGACTCCCCCCTGGGCACATAGAAGATTGGGCGACCTGGAAGGCGCGGAACAGGCTGTGTTCTGGCACCATGAGATGCAGAGCTAACCTTAAGAAATGGGGCTCCAAAGTGGAGTCCACGACATGCGAGTGTGGAGAAGAGCATACCACAGACCACCTACTACCATGCAACTTGATCACTGCCACATGCACAATGGAGGACCTTCTTACAGCAACATCAGTGACACTCCAAGTGGCTAATTTCTGGTCAAAGGACATTTAGCATCATGCCAAGTTTTTTAAAGTTTGTTTGTGTTTTTAAATACATGTTAACTGTACCCTCAATTCGCTTCTGACATGATAAATAAATAAATGGGTGATCAGAAGAGAAGGGGCACGGGAACTCAATGTTTTAATTATTTATAACTACTGTTAGTTGTGTATTTTATTGTGTTTAATTGTAGGCATCAAATACGTACCAGCTAGAAGCCACCCTGAGTCCCCCCTAGGGGGTTGAGAAGGATGGGGTAAAAATACCCAAAATAAATATAATATAATATAATATAATATAATATAATATAATTGCATCTTGCACTTTTTTTTAGTGTCAGGAGTGACTTGAGAAACTGCTAGTTGCTTCTGGTGTGAGAGAATTGGCTGTCTACAAGGATATTGCCCAGGGGACATTGCCCGGATGTTTTTATGTTTTACCATCCTTGTGGGAGGCATCTCTCATGTCCCTGCATGGTGAGCTGGAGCTGACAGAGGGAGCTCATCCACACTCTCCCCAGATTTGAACCTCCCACCTGTTGGTCTTCAGTCCTGCCGGCACAAGGGTTTAACCCATTTAATTGTGGTCTCCTGGGTGTTGCACTAATAGTCATGCTGTAATTTTCTATGCTCTGATCTTGTTTGGAGGCCACACATCAGCACATCACAAGTAGCATTGTATTTGTATGTTTTCACATATAGAATCGTTTCTCCGTTTTCTCCTTTTAGCGTTATGTATATATTTGGAGGCTTCAATAGCCTCCTTCTAAGCGACATCGTGAAGTACACCCCAGAAAGCTGCGAAGCATACAGCAATGACACCTGCTTGAGGGCAGGGCCTGGCCTCCGATGCGTGTGGAATGCCTCCGCTTCCCAGTGCCTTCCGTGGGAAATGGCCACCCCACAACAAGAGCAGAAAGTCATGGAGGACTGCCCTCCTTCGCCAGGTAAGCTTGCAGATGGTTCCTCGAGGTTGATTCCCCTATGTTTGACGTTGATGTTGTGTTAGGGATTTCATAACCCTCTGGAATTTCAGTTTTTGGTGTGATCATTTGAGAAGATCTGATTTGGAGATGAGAAACTGTTGGTTTTCCCTGTTACAACTAGAGGATTATATTTTGTTGGTCTGTAATTTTCCTGGCAATCTGCTTCTGGAAGATACATGAGAATGGAGGCAATAGAAGTCTCCTTTTTGTGTCAGAAATAGCCGGTCTTGAGGTCTTATATAGTCACAAATGAACATTGTTAGTCTTATTACACTATTTGCTTACAATTGACCTCTTTGGAATAAGGATCTTGCTGTACTTATGACACAAAATGCACTTTGGGGTTAGAATTTTGTTGAATGCTTTACTACTTACTATTCTTATCAGTGTTCCACTTGATTCATGAGGGATTTTTGGGAATTCAAGGACATTCACAGAAAGGCAGTTGGCTGCACAGTGTAGATATTTAGCAGAAGGGTGGTTTAGCACAAACACCATGAAACTATGTAGGTATAGATTGACATCACACAAACACAATGTAGGGTCTCTGCTTCATGTGTTAGAAGCTGCTTTGGGAGACTTAGATCCTAAAAAGTGGCCTCTAAGTATTTGGAAATAAATAAAATATAAATAGATTGTATTGTCGAAGGCTTTCATGGCTGGAATCGCTAGGTTCTTGTGGGTTTTTTCGGGCTATAGAGCCATGTTCTAGAGGCATTTCTCCTGACGTTTTGCCTGCATCTATGGCAAGCATCCTCAGAGGTTGTGAGGTCTCTGAGGATAAATAGATTGAATCACTAACCGGAGACGCTGGAGATGGGAAGGGAAACCTTTGCCTTTGTTTACGTATTGTATGTCATTGTTCACTGTATAAAAGGCATTGAATGTTTGCCTATATATGTGTATACTATAATCCACTCTGAGTCCCCTTGGAGAGATAGGGTAGAATATAAATAAAGTGTGTTGTTGTTGTTGTTGTTGTTGTTATTATTATTATTATTATTAAACCATTTTTATCCATAGCCTTATCAGCGAAAGGTCAATAAGGCATCCCACTAGATATTGGGTACTTGGACATCTCCAAAAGAGGTTAACATAGTTCTTCACCCAAGGTTCCTTTGTCATCTGATAGCTTTAGGATAAAGAAGACATGTCTCCTTAGGACAGTGGTTCTCAACCTTCCTAATGTCGCAACCCTTTAATATAGTTCCTGATGTTGTAGTGACCACCAACCATAACATTATTTTTGTTTCTATTTCATAACTGTCATGTTGCTATTGTTATGAATTGTCATGTAAATACCTTATATTCAGGATGTATTTTCATTCACTGGATCAAATTTGGCACAAATACCCAATACACCCAAATTTGAATACTGGTGGGGTTGTTGGGGATTGATTTTTGCCATTTGGTACTTGTAGTTGCTGGGATTTATAGTTCACCTACAATCAAAAGAGCATTCTGAACTCCACCAATGATGGAATTGAACCAAACTTGGCACACAGAACTCCCATGACCAATAGAAAATACTGAAGGATTTGGTGGGCATTGACCTTGAGTTTTGGAGTTGTAGTTCACCTACATCCAGAGAGCACTGTGGACTCAAAAAAATGATGGACCTGGACCAAACATGGTATGAGTACGCAATATGTCCAAATGTGAACAAAGGTGGAGTTTGGGGGAAAATAGATCTTGATATTTGGGCGTTGTGGTTGCTGGAATTTATAGTTCACCTATAACCAAAGAGCATTCTGAACTCCACCAATGTTGGAATTGAACCAAACCTGGGGCGCAGAACTCCCATGAGCAATAGAAAATATTGAAGGATTTGGTGGGCATTAAGCTTGAGTTTTGGAGTTGTAGTTCACCTACTTCCAGAGAGCACTGTGGACTGAAACAATGATGGATCTGGACCAAACTTGACATGAGTACGCAATATGTCCAAATGTGAACACTGGTGGAGTTTGGGGAAAAATAGATCTTGATATTTGGGAGTTGTGTTTGCTGGGATTTATAGTTCATCTACAACCAAAGAGCATTCTGAACTCCACCAATGATGGAATTGAACCAAACCTGGGACACAGAACTCCCATGACCGATAGGAAATACTGAAGGATTTGGAGGGCATTAAGCTTGAGTTTTGGAGTTGTAGTTCACCTACTTCCAGAGAGCACTGTGGACTCAAACAATGATGGATCTGGACCAAACTTGGCATGAGTACGCAATATGTCCAAATGTGAACACTGGTGGAGTTTGGGGAAAAAATAGATCTTGATATTTGGGAGTTGTCGTTGCTAGGATTTATAGTTCACCTACAACCAAAGAGCATTCTGAACTCCACCAATGATAGAATTGGGTTAAACTTCCCACACAGAACCCCCATGGCCAACAAAAACTACTGTGTTTTCCGATGGACTTTGGTGACCCCTCTGACACCCCCTCTTGCGACCCCCCCCAAGGGTCCCGACATTCACATTGAGAAACTCTGCTTTAGGACATGGAAACTGAATATCAGAGCCCCCTTTTCCTTGCTGAATGTTTTAGAACTTCGTTGTAAAAGAATTGAACTGCACGGCCGCTGAAATAGTCAAGTTTGAGGGCAGCGCAAAATTACTCTCTAAAACTCGAAAAGGACTTCTCCGTATTGATTGACTGGGTGGGAAAGTGTCAAGGATAACGCTTAGTATAAAGGACCAAAAGCAATTTGGAACTCATTCTCCCAGTTTTTTGCATGAATTGGAATGTAAATTACCTGTAAGAACCAAGAAAAATCTTGTGTGGAACAGAAAGTTCAGTGACAGCATAACCTAGAGTGTGGCAGCTATGAAAAAAAGGTGATGGCAATTTGTGAAAAAAGGTGCTGAACGTCAATCAGCCAAATATGAAAATGTTTTTTTATAAACTCAGAGGCATTTGGAACAGTTTGTTCAGGTCTGGTTTCCTCATCTCAAGAAGAATGTTCAGCTGGAAGAGCTAGAAAGAAGAGCGGCTGAAAATATTTGCCAGGGGCTGAGAAGAAGCAAAATTGGAGCGTTGTGCTTTTGAAGAAAGATCTAAATAGGTTTAGAGGCTGTGCATTTAGGAAGGACCCATCTGCAGAAGTGTGTCTTTGTGGGCAGACAGTTGTGAAGAGAGTGGGATGTGTTCCAGAAGCCGCATCAGCAAGTGCCACCTTTGTCCTTCTTTGCTTTGTGTGAGAAAAGGAGAACACTTTTTCTCAGGTGCAGGTTCTGTTGGCACTTAAAAGCAAACATGAAGAATGGGGTGTACATTGTGCGGAAGCATCACAAAGCCTCTTCTAATCCCTCAGGACACCTTGCTCTATTTGTGGCCACTCCTTGATTAAGTGACATTGGAAACCTAGAGGTGGGCAAAGCTGTATCTTGGTGGTTGCCACCTCAGATCTCTGTGTGGGTCTTCACACATGGTTGAATGCTTTCATGTCAGTGTGGGAAGTATTTATTGATTTATCGTGTCAGGAGCAGACCAAACAGTTGCGTCACATTTTTTAACAAACAAACAAACAAAACACAAAGTTTGCAAGCTTGGTAGTTGATTGAATGTCCTTTGACCAGTAGCTGGCCACATTGAGTGCCTCTGGTATTGCTGCAAGAAGGTCCTCCATTGTGCATGTAGCAGGGCTCAGGTTGCATTGCAGCAGGTGGTCAGTGGTCAATGGTTTGCTCTTCGCCACACTCGCATGTCGTGGATTCCACTTTGTGGCCCCATTTCTTAAGATTGGCTCTGCATCTCGTGGTACCAGAGCGCAGTCTGTTCAGCGCCTTCCAAGTTGCCCAGTTTTCTGTGTGTCCAGGGGGAAGTCTCTCATTTGGTATCAGCCATTGATTGAGGTGCTGGGTTTGAGGCTGCCACTTTTGGACACTCGCTTGCTGAGGTGTTCCAGCGAGTGTCTCTGTAGATCTTAGAAAACTATGTCTGGATTTAAGTCATTGACGTGCTGGCTGATACCCAAACAAGGGATGAGCTGGAGATGTCTCTGCCTTGGTCCTTTTATTGGCTGCTCCTTCCCGGCGGATGTCAGGTGGTACAATACCAGATAAACAGTGTAATTTCTGCAGTGGTGTAGGGCGCAGACACCCCATGATAATGCGGCATGTCTCATTAAAAGCCACATGCACTGTTTTAGCGTGGTGAGATGTGTTCCACACTGGTCATGCATAGCAGCAGAGTAGCATAGTGCAAGGGCAGATGTCTTCACTGTGTCTGGTTGTGATCCCCAGGTTGTGCCAGTCAGCTTTCATATGATATTGTTTCTAGCGCCCACTTTTTGCTTGATATTCTGGCAGTGCTTCTTGTAAGTCAGAGTAGGGTCCAGAGTGACTCGCAGGTATTTGGGTGCGCTGCAATGCTCCAGTGGGATTCCTTCCCAGGTGATCCTCAGAGCTTGGGATGCTTGCCTGTTCTTAAGGTGAAAGGCACATGTCTGTGTTTTAGATGGATTAGGGATCAGCTGGTTTTCTTCGTAATAGGCAGTAAGAGCACCTAGAGCTTCGGAGAGCTTTGTTCAACCATCTCAAAACCCCTGCTTGAGCAGTAATGGCACGATCATCAGCATAGATGAAGCTCTCCGTCCCTTCTGGCAGTGGCTGGTCATTTGTGTAAATGTTGAACATGGATGGGGCAAGCACGATCCCCTGAGGCAGGCCGTTCTTCTGTTTCCGGCATCTGCTTGTCTGGCCCTGGGACTCAACAAAAAAGCTCCTGTTTTGTAGCAGGTTTCCTATGAGGCGGGTGAGTTGGTAGTCCTTTGTGATATTATACATTTTTCTCAGGAGGAGGCAGTGGTTTACAGTATTATAAGTTGCTGACAGGTCTATGAAGACAACTCCTGTGATCTGCTGCCTTTCAAAGCCATCTTCTGTTTTGGAAGTGAAGAAGCATCAATGCTTGTATTTAGAGCAGTTAAGGGTAGAGGGAGCATGCTGCTGTCTTGTTTTCACCTCTATTTCCCAGGTTTATGTAACTCAAGCTGTTTTGCTTCTTGTTCACAAGGGGAGGTTCCTTTCTCCTTCTTCGCAAAAGTCTTTAGTGTCCCTTTGTTTGAAAAGTGACCGTCGTGAGGCTTCTCTGCTTTAGGATACGTTACGCACAAAGAAATGAGACACTGCCCTGCACTCTGGGTACCAAATGCTGCTAACATAAGAGGGGCTCCACTTTGTAAGCCACCACCTTGCATGTTCATAGCTCTGGATGAACAAGGGGAGGATGGAGCAGCCTCCTGTCATGCGAGAGTACCCTCATGCGGCCTGATGTGTGAGATAGACGAAACTGTATGTCAATCTTGTTGACTCAGTCGTGCATTTCTACCTGGTGCGCGATGTGCAAAGAGCTTGACTGCCTCTCTCTCTCTTCAAATGGCTGTATTTGGTCACACAGATTTATCTCTCCCCCTCCCCCCCTTTTTTGTTAGCCACAGACCATGAAAAATGCGATCAGATCACGGACTGCTTCAGCTGTACAGCCAACACAAACCAATGCCATTGGTGCCCTGACCAGTGTTTGCCGAGGAATCGCAACTGCTCCGAAGACCAGGTAACTCCCCCTCCTTTTCTTATGCCGGAGAATCCTAACCTCTCTCACAGTTATTGCAAAGAAACTGCTTGTCAGCACTTGCAGAGGTACTTGTAAAGCTATTATGGTTTGTTACTGAGGGGCGAGCTGCCTGTATTGTGTTTAGCACTTCCAATTTTTTTTTTGTCATGTCAGGAGCGACTTGAGAAACTGCAAGTTGCTTCTGGTGTGAGAGAATTGGCCGTCTGCAAGGACATTGCCCAAGGGATGCCTGGATGTTTTGACGTTTTATCATCCTTGTGGGAGGCTTCTCTCGTGTCCCCGCATGAGGAGCTGGAGCTGAGAGAGGGAGCTCATCCATGCTCTCCCTGGATTCAAACCTGCGACCTGTCGGTCTTCAGTCCTGCCTGCACAGGAGCTTAACCTACTGTGCCACCTGGGCCACCAATATTTTGGTACCTGCAGTAAGAGAGAGGGAGGAGTGTCTACTCCATAATATTTCCTCCTTTGGTATAGAGCCGCCGTTCTCAACCTGTGGGCCATGGACCACCACTGCTAAAATATAGTCTGCGGCCTCACCATTATTACACCGTTGGCAACGAAAGTAACTGGTCTCCAAAACCCTCTTATACTGCTGAGGCTTATTAAATATGGTTTTTTGTGGGTGAGCATATGGCAGCTACTGGATGACACATATTCTGTATCAGAAACAAGAGCTGATGTGGTCTATCCAATGCAATTTTCTGAATCAGCACCCCAAACCGAAACTAACGTTGATCAAAAATAGATTCGTAACCTGTTTGATACTAATGTTGGAGGGTGGACCCTGGTCAAAGTGGTCCCTGGTGAAGTGGTCCCTGGTCAAACAAAGGTTGGGATTCATGTAGAGTCACGTAGGGCAGGCCGGAGGTAGTCATTGTATGCACTCTTTACCCACCTGTCATTCAGATTTCTCTGTGGCTCACCAGACCTTTCTGGAGGCTCAATTTTTCCCCAAGTAGGGTAGAGATTCCTGGAAGGCTGGACTCTGCTATTGAAATGTTTTGTGTGTGTGTGTGTGTGTGTAAATACAGTCATCATGGCATTGGTAAAGACATACTTCAGGGATGGGAATAAAGTCACACAGCTATTCTGGATAGCATTTTCCCGGTCACTTAGCTTCTAGGCACATTATTATCATAAACCCCAGGGGTGAGCAAAGGGTGGGCTTGGAGCCACATGTGCCTCCCCCCATACTCCTTTGTCCCCCACTTCTCTTGAAGAGCAAATTGCTTCTCTTGGGAATCATTAGGAGTGGCAACTCACCTCTTAAATAAGTGGTGAGGAACGCAGCAGTGTTTTCTCCCAAATGCCAGTATTTTCTGTTCCTGTTTTTTCATGTTGGCATTTTTGGCAATCCATGTGGCCTCCAGAAGGTCCCAGGAGTAGAAACTTTGCCTCTAGAGCTGTTGAAGATTCCTGTTTCTGATAAACCCCAAGCTTCAGGGTTCTCTGTTTATGTGTTTTGGACCTAGCAACTGTTGACTGTTTTCTGTATACACAAAATCAGGGAGCTGCGAAATGGCTTGGAAACGCCATTATTATTGTTTGGCCTCCCTTACATGCCTTTCTCTTCATTCCACTACAACCTTGAAAGGCTTTTGAAACATTAATGTAATGAGTGGTTGCCCAGCACCACACTGGCACTCTTGGATACTCATCTAATCATTCCGTGGCAAAACGATCACATTGTGAGCTCTGACGATGTGTGATGAACCACACTTTGTAGCTAAAACAAGGCTCCCGTATTATAGAATCATAGAATCAAAGAGTTGGAAGAGACCTCATGGGCCATCCAGTCCACCCCCATCTGCCAAGAAGCAGGAATATTGCATTCAAATCACCCCTGACAGATGGCCATCCAGCCTCTGTTTAAAAGCTTCCAAAGAAGGAGCCTCCACCACACTCCGGGGCAGAGAGTTCCACTGCTGAACGGCTCTCACCGTCAGGAAGTTCTTCCTCGTGTTCAGATGGAATCTCCTCTCTTGTAGTTTGAAGCCATTGTTCCATTGCGTCCCAGTCTCCAAGGAAGCAGAAAACAAGCTTGCTCCCTCCTCCCTGTGGCTTCCTCTCACATATTTATACATGGCTATCATATCTCCTCTCAGCCTTCTCTTCTTCAGGCTAAAAATGCCCAGCTCCTTAAGCCGCTCCTCATAGGGCTTGTTCTCCAGACCCTTGATCATTTTAGTCGCCCTCCTCTGGACACACACTGTATTTGCATAGGAAGGTGTTTGTAGTTAGATGCTTGTGATAGCTTTGGCATCATGCTGGGCACTACGTTCATTCAATAGTTTGGGGGTTTATTTTTTAAATTTTCGATCGTTTTTTATTTATTTTTGAGAGAAAAGGAAAAGGGGATCTCGGGGTGTGGGTTTTGGGGGAAAAAAGGGGTGGAATGTTTGCGGAGTGGGAAGAAATACAATCTGGTGAGGGGAAAAGAAAAAAAATGATAAAAAGATGACAATAATGATAATAAAGAAGAAAAATCCCTATTGCTAAAGGGGAGGATATATTAAGGTAAGGGTATTTAGGAAAGCTGAGGTGGAAAGAGAAAAAGAAGAAAACAGAGGGAGAAAAAGGAAAAAAGAGAAGAGGAGAAAAGAAAAAAAAATGCTGAAGGCTTTCATGGCCGGAATCACTGGGTTGTTGTAGTTTTTCCGGGCTATATGGCCATGTTCTGGACACATTTTCTCCTGACGTTTCGCCTGCATCTATGGCAAGCATCCTCAGAGGTAGTGAGGATGCTTGCCATAGATGCAGGCGAAACGTCAGGAGAAAATGCCTCCAGAACATGGCCACATAGCCCAAAAAAACCTACAACAACCAGGAAAAAAAATTGCCAAGAAAAAATAAAAATAAAAAGTTGTTGATTGTCAACTTCCAAATTTTTCCTGTCTGGGTTGTTGAACTGTTATTTAATAAATATAATTATTCTCTCCATCTTCTGGTATTTGCAGTTTTTCCTTTTACCTTAAAAAAATATTTAATAAAGTCCAATCCATAGGGCATTTGGGTTTGCCTTGGTATGGAATATTGTGTCCAATTCTGGGAACCACAATTCAAGAGAGATATTGACAAGCTGGAATGTGTCCAGAGGAGGGCGACTAAAATGATCAAGGGTCTGGAGAACAAGCCCTATGAGGAGCGGCTTAAGGAGCTGGGCATGTTTAGCCTGAAGAAGAGAAGGCTGAGAGGAGATATGATAGCCATGTATAAATATGTGAGAGGAAGTCACAGGGAGGAGGGAGCAAGCTTGTTTTCTGCTTCCCTGGAGACTAGGACGTGGAACAATGGCTTCAAACTACAAGAAAGGAGATTCCATCTGAACATGAGGAAGAACTTCCTGATTGTGAGAGCTGTTCAGCTGTGGAACTCTCTGCCCCGGAGTGTGGTGGAGGCTCCTTCTTTGGAAGCTTTTAAACAGAGGCTGGATGGCCATCTGTCAGGGGTGATTTGAATGCAATATTCCTGCTTCTTGGCAGAATGGGGTTGGACTGGATGGCCCATGAGGTCTCTTCCAACTCTTTGATTCTATGTTCTCAAATAATAGGTTAATTTGTCCATATTTCTTATGCCCAGTATCTTTAATTTCCATTCTTCTTCCGTCGGGATTTCTTTGGTCTTCCACTTTCTAGCATACACAATTCTAGCTGCTGTGAATTGTGTGTACTTCTTGTGTATGTCATGAAGGAAAACTCTTACCCATTGTTGTCTATTTCAGACTCCCATTACTGTCTTCGAAAATTGCTCCAAGGATAATCCTGCCTTTTACTGCAACAAGAAGACGAGTTGCAAGAGCTGCAGCCTGGATCAGAACTGCCAGTGGGAAGGCCGGAACCAAGAGTGCATTGCTTTGCCTGGTACGTCTCTCTTGGGCATCGCACCCACCTGTGTGCGCTCCCCTCCTTTCCCACCTCCAAAGGGAGAGGAGCCGTGTTGTCCCCCCGAACCAGTGAACTGACTGATTTATTCATACATGCTGTGTACAATACCTTTCAAAACCCAGCGTCTGTTTCAAATGCATCATGTCAGCTTTGCATAAAAATTCCCTCAGAGACAGGGAAGCGATTGCGGGCAAATGCATCAGAGACCAGGAGCCCCTGGCTTCCCCCTTGCATCTGTTGGTTTACTACAAATGGATTTATCTCTCTTTTAACAGTTAATTGCCCTAAGTGGCCAAGAGGAGAAAAAAGAGCCACTGTAATAGAGCTGGGTCCCTCTCGGGCTTCTAGTGTCGACTCCCTACCCTGTTGTTCCCATTGTCGTTGCCTCACAAAAATACACCGAAGGCCTCAGCTTTTTCTTTGTCTACAGCACGAGTCCTCAAACTGTTTAAACAGAGGGCCAGGTCACAGTCCCTCACAGTGTTGGAGGGCCAGATTATAATTTGAAAAAAATGAATAAATTCCTATGCACAGTGCACATCTCTTATTTGTAGTGCAAAAAACAACCCAGTTTAAAACAATATAATAATTAAAATGAAGAACAATTTTAACAAATATAAACTTACTAGCTTGGAAACCCGGCGATGCCCGGGTTACTTGAGAAAGGCATTGTTTGTTTTGGGAAGTTTGGTAATATCTCTGGATGCAGGGTGAACTAAAATCCCCACCCCCCCTCAAACCCCTCTAGTATGTTATGTTGGCCCAGGTTATTTGAAAAAGGCACTGTTTGTTTTGGGGTGTTAGGTAATATCAGTTTGGTAATTTGTAGCCAGTCTTTCCTGTTGTTTTTTTTATGAATGTTCCCATTAGAAAATGCATAAGGATGTGGGTGAACTGCAATTCCCAAAATCATGGGCATCTGTGGCATCGTTTGCTTGACTTCACAGTGCTCTCTGGATGTAGGTGAACTACATAGAATCATAGAATCAAAGAGTTGGAAGAGACCTCATGGGCCATCCAGTCCAACCCCATTCTGCCAAGAAGCAGGAATATTGCATTCAAATCACCCCTGACAGATGGCCATCCAGCCTCTGTTTAAAAGCTTCCAAAGAAGGAACCTCCACCACACTCCGGGGCAGAGAGTTCCACTGCTGAACGGCTCTCACAGTCAGGAAGTTCTTCCTCATGTTCAGATGGAATCTCCTCTCTTGTAGTTTGAAGCCATTGTTCCGCGTCCTAGTCTCCAAGGAAGCAGAAAACAAGCTTGCTCCCTCCTCCCTGTGGCTTCCTCTCACATATTTATACATGGCTATCATATCCCCTCTCAGCCTTCTCTTCTTCAGGCTAAACATGCCCAGCTCCTTTAGCCGCTCCTCATAGGGCTTGTTCTCCAGACCTTTTATCATTTTAGTCGCTCTCCTCTGGACACATTCCAGCTTGTCAATATCTCTTCTGAATTGTAGTGCCCAGAATTGGACACAATATTCTAGGTGTGGTCTAACCAAAGCAGAATAGAGGGCTAGCGTTACTTCCCTAGATCTAGACAACTCCTCTAAATCATGGTGAATTTTCCCTAAAACTCTTGTTCAGTTGCTGATCAATTCCTGTTTGTTGTGTGCCATAGGAATGGGTAGGAAAGGGTTAAGGGAGAGGCAGTTAGCAGGTCATGCAAATTTGGAGAGAGAAAGGAACCCTGGGATGTCCATTACAGAGAAAAAACCAGAACATCTAGGATGAAATGGCTCCCAAATGATAGTGTTCCTTGGGTGGTTGGTGTTTGGGGAGGACATTGGCAGGGGTTGGGCTACATGTTCAGAGTGCTCACTATAACCTGCAATGTTGGTTGAGGGAGTGCCTTCGGAGGATTCTCAGCACTTGGAACTATAGTCTGTGTGTGGATGTAGGAGACTATCTGTGTAAGTGGTTACCTCCTCCACATACACACATTTTCACTTTTATTCATGTGTATAGATAGATAGATAGATAGATAGATAGATAGATAGATAGATAGATAGATAGATAGATAGATAGATAGATAGATAGATAGATAGATAGACAGACAGACAGATAGATAGATAGATTAGTATTTCAGTGGAAAGTATGGGCCTGCTTTTGGCTGATGAGATAGGATTGTTATTGTTGTTGTTGTGTGCTTTCAAGCTCCACTGGCTACCGGTTTGCTACCGGGCCCAATTCAAAGTGCTTATTTATTTGTCGTGTCAGGGCAACCAGTCAATTATATTACATTTCTAACAGAACAAAGCAAACAAACAGACAAAATACAAAATTTGCGAGTTTGGTAGTTGATTAACTGTCCTTTGACCAGTATCTGGCCACTTGGAGTGCCTCTGGTGTTGCCGCAAAAAGGTCCTCCATTATGCACGTGGCAGGGCTCAGGGTGCATTGCAGCAGGTGGTCAGTGGTTTGCTCTTCTCCACTCTCGCATGTCGTGGATTCCACTTTGTGGCCCCATTTCTTAAGGTTGGCTCTGCATCTCGTGGTGCCAGAGCGCAGTCTGTTCAGCGCCTTCCAAGTCGCCCAGTCTTCTGTGTGCCCAGGGGGGAGTCTCTCATTTGGTATCAGACATTGGTTGAGGTTCTGGGTTTGAGCCTGCCACTTTTGGACTCTCGCTTGCTGAGGTGTTCCAGCGAGTATCTCTGTAGATCTTAGAAAACTATTTCTAGATTTAAGTCGTTGACGTGCTGGCTGATACCCAAACGGGATGAGCTGGAGATGTCTCTGCCTTGGTCCTTTCATTATTGGCTGCTACTTCCCGGCGGATGTCAGGTGGTGCAATACCGGCTAAGCACAGAAGCAACCAGCATTCAAAGTGCTGGCTTTGGCCTATAAAGCCCTAAACAGTTCTGCCCCAACTTACCTGTCAGAACGTGTCTCCCCTTACGAACCATCAAGGACTCTAAGATTGTCTGGGGCGGCCCTGCTCTCGGTCCTGCCTTCGTCTCAAGTACGGTTGGCGGGGACGAGAGACAAGGCCTTCTCAGTGGTGGCCCCTCGGCTATGGAATACCCTCCCTAGGGAGATTACATCTGCTCCCTCCCTCTTAACGTTTTGGAGGCAAGTTAAAACATGGCTGTTTGAGCAATCGCTTACAAATGCAGAGTAGCTAATATAGGAAATTGAACGATTTGACAATGGAACTGGACAATGCTTTATAATAATGAGACAGTAATGATGTTTTTATTAGCATTACTGTTTAATGTTTTAATCTGTATTATGTTTTTATATGTACTGATTTGTTGGAAACCGCCTTGAGTTGCCGATTGGCTGAGAAAGGCGGTAAATAAATAAATAAATAAATAAATTTCAGACTTAGGTTGAACCTGAGCGAGGGCCGGGTAAATAACCTTGGAGGGCCGTATCTGGCTCACTTGCCTTAGTTTGAGGACCCCTGGTCTACAGCAAGCACGGGACAACTTGGGCCCTCCAGATGTTTTGGATTTTAACTTTCACAATTATTGGCTGTATGATAAATCCCAGCCTGGATTATTTATGCTTTGCTTAGGCATAGCATCCACCTTCGTGTCCCTCCATTACCTTACTATCCCCAAAGAAAGTTGTGTTGTGCTCCACTCCATGGGTGATGTTTCTTGTGACTCAAGAAACCTCACCAAGTCTAGGTCAAGTCTGCTGACTTTTAGTTTCATGCATTTGTATAGGATTGCTATCCATTTCTGCTTGTTAATTCGTATGGCCCCATTTTCGTTTTTGAGTGCCAGGGCCTGCAACCGAGCACTGAGTAAGAAGCGCTGCTTACTTGGTGCTCGGCTGCTGGCCCAAAGGCCTTCATGGTTGCCAAGTGGTGAAGCCATCAGCCCCGTGCCAAGGATCTCCAATGAAGAGACCTCCATGCAATCCTACTTCTCTCTATAACTATGATGCCGAAAAGCAGGCTTGGAGCCGGTATCCGCTCCTGCCTGCCTTTCGTATCGAGTTTATTTTCATTCTGGGAGAGGGTCTTTTGTATCGTGCAATCCGAATAAACAGAACAAAATGGAAACATGAATTAAATGGATGATACAGATATCGGACCCAGGACTACTGACTTTAGGCATCTCACCCACTCAGAAATAGTGTGATACCACCAAACGCAGCGCCCAAACACGAATCAAGGAACATGAAAGGCACTGCAGACTACTCCAGTCAGAGAAATCAGCCATAGCAGAGCACCTGATGAGCCAACCTGGATACAGCATATTATACAGCAATGGATACTCCACCTCAGACATCAGAAGAGCTGCAAGACCAAGAACAAGCCACGAGAGTAAAGATGAAGATCCACCCAGAGGAAAAGTGTTCTTGCCAGACATCAAGGGAACCACTGACCGCAAAGAGAAGCTAATGAGGAAACACAACATACAAACCACCTACAGACCCACCAAGAAAATCCAACAAATGCTACGTTCAGCAAAGGACAAGAGGGATCCTCTCACCTCTGCAGGAGTCTACCGTATACCATGCAGCTGTGGACAAGTCTACATAGGGACCACCAAACGCAGCAGCATTGCCCAAACACGAATCAAGGAACATGAAAGGCACTGCAGACTACTTCAACCAGAGAAGTCAGCCATAGCAGAGCACCTGATGAACCAGCCTGGACACAGCATATTATCTGAGAACACAGAAATGCTGGACCACTCTCACAACCACCATGTCAGACTACACAGAGAAGCCATTGAAATCCACAAGCATGTGGACAATTTCAACAGAAAGGAAGAAACCATGAAAATGAACAAAATCTGGCTACCAGTATTAAAAAACTCAAAAATTACAACAGCAAAACAACAGAGGGGAAACAAACAGGCACATCAAATCACTCTCAACAAAAGATTCCCCCCAGGCACTTCCAAGCCATTAAATGCTAATCAAGGTGGTCAGTTGAAACATTCACACCTAGCTCCAGCAGACAAGAGTCCTTTGTCCCACCCTGGTCATGCCATAGATATATAAACCCATTTTCCTAGTTCCAACAGACCTCACTACCTCTGAGGATGCTTGCCATAGATGGAGGCGAAACGTCAGGAGAGAATGCCTCCAGAACATGGCCATATAGCCCAGAAAAACCTACAACAACCGAGTGATTCTGGCCATGAAAGCCTTCGACAATACGGTGTGATACTATTTTCATGTGATTGAAGAGGAAAGAAACTGAGCATGTATTCACTGGGGAACCTGAGCTGTTATTTTCACCGCAGTTTATAAAATACTCCCAACACCCAGGTTGCTTTTCTACAAATCTGAATGCAAGTGTGATAAATACTGTACTTGCTTGTCTCATTCCTGCCTGCGAGAGAACCTGTCATTTTATCTCCTCACCTGCAAGATGAGAGATTTTCTCTTCTCAAGAGTTACTGCATTTGTGAAAACATATTTTTCTTTTGCTCCAAATGTGCGAGAGGTGTAGCTCAACCGCCTCGTGGCCTGCCCTTTTCACAATCAGGTGGGTTGTTGGCAATTTGTTGACCAAGCAGACATTCCTTGTGGACGTGCTCTCTGGGCACGTGTGTGGAGATGCTTTTGAGCAAATCACAGAAACCGCAATAAAGGAAAAGAAAGCACTCGTTGTCTTGTTCTCAGAGTGGAAACTTGCAGAAGCTGGCGATTTCTCTTCGTCGCACAAGGAGTTTTACAGATAATTATCCCATCCCTCCTGGAAGGACCTTGCTATCTATTTTGCAGGCAGAAGGGCAGAGCTCATTGCCTGCAGCAGCGGACTGCATTCCAATGGACAGGGATTATCTTGTGCCAGCTACGCCTTCAAAACTACACACAGGCAGGAAACGGGAGAAGGAAGACCCATCTGTGCCTGAGCTCTTTTGCTTTCAAATCTCCTTGGAATGTTACAGAGCAGTGGGGTCCATTCACTTATGACAAATCCAGTGCTGGTTGCACAGCTGCAAATACAAGGCAGTTTTTCACTCTTTTTGCAGTTTTGTTTCTTGACTTGGTTCCTCGGTTTCTGTGCAGTGAAGGTTTTTGTTTTTGTTTTTGTTTTTTTGCACAAGTCTTTTATGAATATTAATCCACCAAAGTTTGTACAACTCAGTTGCCTGTGTTATACCTTAGTCATTCCTTAGGGTGCAAATCTGTCACTCCTTCTTACCTGTCACCAAGGAGGCTGTCCAAACCTTGAACCGGTGCTTGGCTGCTGTGTTGGACTGGATGAGAGCTAACAAATTGAAACTGAATCCAGACAAGACAGAGGTCCTACTGGTCAGTCGTAAGACCGAACAGGGTATAGGGTTACAGCCTGTACTGAATGGGGTTACACTCCCCCTGAAGACGCAGGTTCGCAGCTTGGGAGTGATCCTGGACTCATCGCTGAGCCTGGAAGCCCAGGTCTTGGCGGTGGCTGGGAGAGCTTTTGCACAATTAAAACTTGTGCGCCAGCTGCGCCCGTACCTTGGGAAGTCTGATCTGGCCACAGTGGTCCACGTTGTTGTTACATCCCAATTAGATTACTGCAACGCGCTCTACGTGGGGTTGCCTTTGAAGACTGTTTGGAAACTTCAGTTAGTCCAACGGGCGGCAGCTAGATTACTCACCGGAGCGTCATACAGGGAGCATACCACCCCCTGTTATGTCAGCTCCACTGGCTACCGATCCAGTTCCGAGCACAATTCAAAGTGCTGGTTTTGACCTACAAAACACTATACGGCTCCGGCCCAGCGTACCTGTCCGAACGTATCTCCTTCTACGTCCCACCTGGGAGTTTAAGATCCTCTGGGGAGTCCCTGCTCTCGGCCCCACCTTTATCACAAGTGAGACTGGTGGGGACGAGGGACAGGGCCTTCTCAGTGGTGGCCCCTCGCCTGTGGAATTCACTCCCCGGGGAAATTAGGTCATCAACATCCCTCCTCTCTTTCAGAAGGAAGTTAAAAACCTGGATATGGGACCAGACCTTTGAGTAAGCTGGCAGATGGATAAAGGACAATGATGACCAGAGTAGGAAAGGACTATGATAATGCTGGATGGACTATGGATTTATGAATTGGCGAACGTTGACCACAAGATGATTTTATTAGTGCTATTGTATTAATTTGATTGTTTTAAGTAGTTATAATTGTTGTTGTTATATTGTATTTTGTATATTGTATTTTGTGAATTATTGGGCATCGAATTGTGCCTTTTGTAAGCCGCCCTGAGTCCCCCCTAGGGGATTGAGAAGGGCGGGGTATAAGCGCTCGAAATAAATAAATAAATAAATAAAATAAGCTACGTTTTGTCAAAAACCCTTTGCTTGGCCTGCCTCACACAAGTTTTGGCACAGATAACCTGATGCGTGTCTCTGTGACAAGGCTGAGCTTCTTGGGGAGGGATTTCCAGAGTTGGGGTGCCACCACTGAGAAGGCCCTCTTTCTCGTCCCCACCAACTGTGCTTGGTGGTGGCAGAGAGAGGAGGGCTTCGCTGGCAGATTGCAGAGCCTGTGCTGGTTCATAGGGTGATATAGGATCATGAAGATAGGCAGGACCCAAACTGTTTAGGGCTTTGTAGGTCATAACCTGCACCTTGAATTGGGACCGGAAACCTATTGGCAGCCAGTGGAGCTACTTTAATAGGAGTGATGTATGTTCCCTATAATTAGCTCCATTTAAAAGACTTTTTTAGTGTTTCTGTCTGGATCAGGACAGCATCGAGATGCCCTGAGATTTATGGATGGCAATCACAGACATTAGAAAAGTGTCGATTGAGGCGTTCACCTTTGTAAAGGCAAAATAAACTGCATAGTCAGATTAGTCGATGCTGGGATCACTGTCTAATAGTACATGGAAGGCACACATTGCTTGCCTCTGGTCTTATGCATTGTTCCTAGCATGTATGAATACTGAATTCCCTCCAAGAAAACCCTGCCAAACTTTTAATACCATTTGTATCTTTCTTGTTTTATGGATTGTTTTTGCTTTTATGTCTTGTGGGTATTTTGTTCTACATGTAAGCCGGCCTGAGTCCCTTCAGGGAGGTGGTAGCGGGGCATAAGAATAACGTTGTTACTACTACTACTACTACTACTACTACTACTACTACTATTTTATTAGTAGTCTAATTGTGTTCAGGGTGACAATTCTTATAGATACTTTCCTACAATGGGTTATTAATGCAAAAACAAAAATCTGTGAGGATTTATTTGTTTTACAGAAAACATCTGTGGGGCCTCGTGGCACCTGGTTGGCAATTCTTGTTTGAAAATCACAAACACCAAAGACAGCTATGACAATGCTAAGCTGACCTGTAGGAACCACAATGCTGCCCTGGCATCGCTCACTACTCAGAAGAAGGTGGAATTTGTTCTGAAGGAACTGCAGAAGACCCAAGCCTCGGTGAGTGGTCCAGAATACTGTGGAAAGTCTTTACAGAGTGATGAAGGATGATTGTGGATGTTGTGGCTCACTTTGAGCCTGAGCTTTATGAGCTTGAGTTTCCTCAGGACGAGGAGGATGATGGGTTACAGATTTCTGAACATGTCCCTGTTATTGAGGCAGACAGTGTTGATTCCGAAGAAGAGACGGCATTTCTGTTTCCCAGAAAAAGGAATGTTGTTTTAGATAAAGATAGTGAAACTTCACAGCTGCAGGTGGATGAGTCGGCTCCACCTGGGAGTCGGGTGCCTCTCGGTTCCCCGGGTGACCAGTCCCAGGATAATGAATTATCTGGCCTTGAAGACGATAGAGATTTGATTAGGGAGGACCGTTTGCAATTAAGGGTATGCCGAAGTGCGCGGCTTGCCAACAAATGGGAAGTTCGAGGTCAACGTAATGCTTTCATGCTAGGGAAACATATTTAACGATCTGATTGAAGTCAATCCTTTGTCAGTGCAATGTTGCTTACACCCTGTTAACTTCTCTGGAATTACCTCAGCTTTTGGGGAAAGCTTCTAGCTCTTTGGGGACTTTGATTTTGATCTTGATTTTTGGGGACCTTGTCATGCTGCCATGGATTCTTGTTTAACCAATGCTAAAAGGTTATCCTTCATGTTATTTGCCTTTGAATCTTGGAAACTTTGCCTTTGCATTTAAGACACTGTTTTGGCTATTGAACTTTTGCAACTTTACTTCTATGTTTTTGATTTTGCTTTTTCTTCAATAAACTACAAAACCTACAGCCTTGGTGTGTGGTGGTGTCTTGAGCAAGATGAATCTATCCTGAGTTGCAACAGAGTACATAATTGTACACCAAAACCACTTTCTTTCCAAGAGGATTGTGGGAGTGGAGCAGTTAGCTTGAGTCAGGTTGTAGCCAAGATGACTTTAGTATATCTCACTCTCAGGGTAGTTTTGAATATGTCCTCCAAAACCAACTTCAAGTTTTTGATTTGTCTGCCCATGGAAATATGGATGTTATCTGTATCTTTCTTGTTTTTGTGTCTGTTGAAGTTAATCCACATCCAGCAATAGGGGATAACATTTTTAAACACCTGAAAACAGGCATTCAGTGGCCATAACAGAACAAAACAGTGGCGGGCTGAGAGAGATTGTGCCCTCTCCTCTCTTTGTGCCTGCTACCTTTACACCTGGGCTCATTGATCTATCTCTGTCCATTGGTGACTTTGCCTAAAATAAGTCATTATTAGAACACTGTTACAGCCAGGCTTAATCTGGCATTGCACAGAGATCATGGCCATGCAACTTTGTCCCATTCAGGATGGAGGGAACCAGAAGAGAAGAGCACAATAGTGTGAAAGATAACTACAGGAGATGCAGAGATCTATGAGTTTCTATGAGAAATTATTTGGCACCTGTCTTGTCAGAAATATTGAAAATTAAATACATTTTTTTAATTACAAAAACATGAGTCAAGCACTGAAAGAGCTAAATGGATGGAATGACTTAGCAAAAGTTGTAGTGCAATATCAGCAGGTGTGCTTGTAGATTAGTAGCTCTCAGTCTGTGAGAGGTCTCTGTGGAAGAAGGGTCTCAGTGTGTTAGTAGGCCTCAGTGTTAGTTCTCCCCAGTATATGAGAGGCATCAGTCTGGGAGAGCCTTCAGTGGGAGAAAGGCCTCAGTGTGAAGTAGGCCTTGGTGTGAGTAGGCCTGGTGTATGAGAAGCTTCGGTGAGAGAAGCCCCAGGTTGAAAGCCACTGTGTGTGAAGGCTGCTGTGTGTTAAAAGCTACTTTGTGAAACTCCTGTGTAGCTTCAGTGCGAGAAGAGGCTCTGTGAGAGCGAAGCTGTTTATCTGCATGAGAAAGAAGCCCAGCGTGGAAGCAAAGAAGGAAGTGTAAAGAACTTTGTTTGTGTTATGGAAACCTTGTTCTTGCAAATTGTTTTTGTTCATTCGTTCAGTCGTCTCCGACTCTTCGTGACCTCATAGACCAGCCCACGCCAGAGCTCCCTGTCGGCTGTCACCACCCCCAGCTCCTTCAAGGTCAAGCCAGTCACCTCAAGGATGCCATCCATCCATCTTGCCCTTGGTCGGCCCCTCTTCCTTTTGCCTTCCACTTTCCCCAGCATAATTGTCTTCTCTAGGCTTTGCTGTCTCCTCATGATGTGGCCAAAGTACTTCAACTTTGTCTCCAGTATCCTTCCCTCCAGTGAGCAGTCGGGCTTTATTTCCTGGAGGATGGACTGGTTGGATCTTCTCGCAGTCCAAGGCACTCTCAGAACTTTCCTCCAACACCACAGCTCAAAAGCATCGATCTTCCTTCGCTCAGCCTTCCCTAAGGTCCAGCTCTCACATCCGTAGGTTACTACAGGGAATACCATGGCTTTGACTAGGCAAATAGTGCAACCATATTATTTTGCTATAAAGAAAAGCCTCCTATGTAGAAGATAACATTGGTCTGTTGGTTTTTGTCCTTTTTATCACTTTGGGCTACTGCTGCTGGATCACGCTGCTGCTAATAAGTTACTCTGCTGTGCATTTATGAGGAGGGTCTTTTGTTAATAAGCCCATTTGCCCAACACATCTCAGGAGTCCAAACAACATGGTCATCCTCCTCCTGCCTTTTCCACTTTAGAACTCAAGGTGTCTTTCAATAGATTAATATAAATTTATTAAAAATTAATAAAATGCAAATGTTTAAAGAGTGTTTAAACTACTAAAAATTAAGACTGGTTAAAAACGAAGTCCTCTTTTAAAAAGCACAATGAAAATAAGGGATACAAAATCTAGCACATTGTTTAGGTATGGTGAGTCTTGTATGGTCAGTGCTGAAAGGCTTCTCAAGACACAAATATTTGCACCTGCCTGAGGAAGGATAGGAAGGAAGATAGTCATCTCGCCTCTCTAGGAAGGGAGTCTCAGAACCTGGGCCTAGCCGCTGAGAAGGTGTTTCCAAAGGAGATCTCAATGTATGGACAGGTTTGTCTGGGACAATATAGTCCTTCAAATGACCTGGACCTGAGCAATGTAGGGCTTTATAGGCTGAAATCACAATACCATGTTTACTCGAATCTAATTATCACCTTCCCAAAATTAGAGTGCACATTAGATTAGCATAATATGGTAAATACGTTTTGGGGTTTCAGGGTTTTGAAAATTGAGGTGCTCATTTGATTTGATGATGTATTAGACTCGAATAAATACTGTATTTCAGTGGTTCTCAACCTGTGGGTCCCCAGGTGTTTTGGCCTACAACTCCCAGAAATCCCAGCCAGTTTACCAGCTGTTAGGATTTCTGGGAGTTGAAGGCCAAAACATCTGGGGACCCACAGGTTGAGAATCATTGCTGTATTTAATTGTGCACAGAGATCGATTGGCAGTCACTGAAGCTGTTGCAGCAAGGGGCTTGTGTACCTCTTATAGCCAGTTCATCTTAGCAATCTGGCTGCAGCTCTTTTGGACCAGTGGGAATTTCCAAACACCCTTCAAAAGTGTCCCCATGTAGAGCATGTTGCAGTAATCCAGCTCTGATGTAACTCAATCATGTGTCCTTATGATTATATCTCACATCTCATTATATGACATTATATGTAACTAAAGACATTTTTGCTCACTGGTATGCCCTGCAGTTGCACCGTAACTCCGTTCCTCTTCTGGAATGATGTGTTTGTGTCTTCAGTTGAACATAGTTTTTCTCCCCCTTTAGGCCAAAGCCCTGACGCCGTGGGTTGGACTGCGGAAGATCAACATCTCATACTGGTGCTGGGAGGACATGTCTCCCTTTACAAACACCTTGCTCCAGTGGTTGCCGGGGGAGCCGAGCGACATTGGGTTCTGCAGTTATTTGGCAGAGCCCAGCAAAGGAGGGCTGAAGGCAGCAACGTGTATCAACCTTGTCAATGGTAGCGTCTGCGAAAGGCCTGGTAAAATATATCTCATTGTTGTTTGTGTTGGGTAAAGGATACTTGTTTTTTCGAGAATAGGATATATCTGTAAAACCTTTCCAAGAGGTCTAGAACTGAGTGCTTAACAGATCCCAGACTTTCTATATTAATGCTGATGTTGTCTTGCTAAGCTGTTGCTCTCTTGCTTACATAAGAGCAACTGCAGAGGAAATGGAAGCCAATTTTGGCCTCAGAAGACCAATCAGGACGCCACAAGTTAGAATCATAGAATCATAGAATCAAAGAGTTGGAAGAGACCTCATGGGCCATCCAGTCCAACCCCATTCTGCCAAGAAGCAGGAATATTGCATTCAAATCACCCCTGACAGATGGCCATCCAGCCTCTGTTTAAAAGCTTCCAAAGAAGGAGCCTCCGCCACACTTCGGGGCAGAGAGTTCCACTGCTGAACGGCTCTCACAGTCAGGAAGTTCTTCCTCGTGTTCAGATGGAATCTCCTCTCTTGTAGTTTGAAGCCATTGTTCCATTGCGTCCTAGTCTCCAAGGAAGCAGAAAACAAGCTTGCTCCCTCCTCCTCCCTATGGCTTCCTCTCACATATTTATACATGGCTATCATATCTCCTCTCAGCCTTCTCTTCTTCAGGCTAAACATGCCCAGCTCCTTAAGCTGCTCCTCATAGGGCTTGTTCTCCAGACCTTTGATCATTTTAGTCGCCCTCCTCTGGAAACATTCCAGAGGAGTTACGTTGCATCACTTCTTGCCTCTGTTTTGGATGCTATTTTGGTAATATTTTAGTGTTTTGATTGGATGTAGGGTGCTCTATGGGTAAGAGAAACCCAACTGCTACATTAGAGTTTTGCTTTTAGTTTATTTCGTTTGGGACAAAAGGAAAACACTTGCAAATCAACAGGCTTATTTCTAGGAATTGAAAGACTTTGAGGAGTCACCAAGGAGGTTACAGAAACCACAAAATTAGGGTTCAGGAGCTTCATATTGCTTGCAATTTGTCCAACTTTGTGTTAAAAGTGTATGAGATGAAGAAGGAAGGCGTGGGCAGTAGTGTGGTTGCGGTATAGGATAGTGTTCCAAAGGAGAGGGTTAGGGTTATTCCCTACGTTCTTGATGAAGTAATGGGTCTGTGTAAGTTCAACATATCGGAGTGAGAATGAGTGAAGGAAATTGGAGTTCCCAGTCATCTGAAGACCTTGGATGACAAAAATTCCTTATATCCAGCCAGACACTTCGATTCCCCATCATCAGTCTTGTGAACACCGATTATCAATGGTTCTCCAGGATTTCATACAACATTTTGGGTTTGGAGAACAAGCCCTATGAGGAGTGGCTTAAAGAGCTGGGCATGTTTAGCCTGAAGAAGAGAAGGCTGAGAGGAGACATGATAGCCATGTATCAATACTTGAGAGGAAGTCATAGAGAGGAGGGAGCAAGCTTGTTTTCTGCTTCCCTGGAGACTAGGATGCAATGGAATAATGGCTTCAAACTAGAAGAAAGGAGATTCCATCTGAACATTAGGAAGAACTTCCTGACTGTGAGAGCCGTTCATCAGTGGAACTCTCTGCCCTGGAGTGTGGTGGAGGCTCCTTCTTTGGAAGCTTTTAAATAGAGGCTGAATGGCCATCTGTCGGGGGTGCTTTGAATGCAATTTTCCTGCTTCTTGGCAGGGGGTTGGACTGGATGGCCCATGAGGTCTTTTCCAACTCTTTGATTCTATGATTTCCACAATTCTAATAACGGATTGGTCATGCAAAACCTCTGCTTGACATTAAGCTATAAACTCTTCCAAAATACATTTAAATAACCCTCGTACCTTTGGGGAAGGTGGTATACCCAGTGGGTTGCAATAGAAGATAGGCTAGCCTGCATATTGGGTTATTAGGGTTACATGGGGATACTAAGAATGATGCCCTGTCTGTGGTCAATAATAATAATAATAATAATAATAATAATAATAATAATAATAATCTTTATTTATACCCCACCACCATCTCCCCAATGGGGACTCGGAGCGGCTTACATGGGGCCAAGTCCGGACAACATATTACAACAAAATAAAACCAGAGCATAAACAATAAAACAACACCATCAAATTACATCAAGAATTTTTTTTTATAAACACAGTCATAAAATAAGATTCCAATAAGCACAATCACAATAACAATGAGCATTGTAAATGACTTACAACTCTCAATAATCAGTATCCAGATTAGCTCTACTGTTTAGCGAGTATGCATACATCCTTCTAGCCACATGGATTGATGGAGTGGGGTGAGTGGACATTAATGCTATCATGCCCTACATCTATATTTAGTTGGTGCTTGTACCGCATTGTTGACAGAGATTACTTACTTAGTTAGGCGATCCCTCGTTGGACGACTAAGATGGTCTTCCATGATGGGTTTCCTTGTGGATTCGTAGGTAGCTGTGGAGCCCTAGTCTTGACCCGCATCTTCTCCTACAGTGAAGACATTGGTTTCCAGGTGGAAGGCGGTCCCGGTCGGGGTTGGCTTGACGCACCTTCCTCCTGGCACGTTTCTCTCTTTCACCCTCCACTCGTGCCTCCTCGAATTCTGCAGCACTGCTGGTCACAGCTGACCTCCAGCTGGAGCACTCAAGGGCCAGGGCTTCCCAGTTCTCAGTGTTGACAGAGTTGACAGAGATAACTTACCTTGACACTATCCCCCTGAAATTCATGATATGAAGTGCATCCCTTGATCATAATTTACAACGGGGGATAAACAGAGAGAAGCTTGGTATCAAGACCATCAACATAGAGTCTTGAGGAGAAAGTGTAGGATGCTTGTAAAGTTGTGGGAAAGAGATTATCAACCCTTTAGAGGAAAGGAAAAAGGTAATGACATTAAGCAATAGACTAGGTGATGGTGAAGGACTTTTGATCATAAAGGAAAGGAAGACCCATACAGAAATAGAGAAGGGAGCAGTGTCAGGAACGTATAGTCCCTTGGATATGGGAGGAGGAAGTTAGTGCCTTTATACTCACTGGACTGTGTTTCAAGTGTGGTGAAGGAAAAGAAGACCTGTAAAGGTTGTAGGAGCAACTTGTTCTAATTCTGTGTTTGTCACTGAACAGCCAATCACAGCGCGAAGCAGTGCCGCACTCCCTGTGGCTTGAGGATGGCCTGCAGCGAATGCACCAGCAGCAACTCGGAGTGCATGTGGTGCAGCAACAAGAAGCAGTGTGTCGACTCGAACGCCTACGTGGCCTCCTTCCCTTATGGACAATGCATGGAGTGGCACACCGTGAGCAACTGTCCGCGTAAGTATTCCGTTGATGGAAAGGGTGCAAAGACAACAGCGATGGAGCATTTGGTGACTATGGCCTCAGCCGCATTGTCCTCTGGCTCCAGCATTTTGTATGCTCTTCTCTTGGCACGGGCAAGGAAATCCACCTGTGTTCATTGGTTCATTGTTGGATAGAGCATCCCAACTGGACTGGATTTGGATCAGTTCCCAGGATTAACCCCCCAAATAAAAGGCTAATGGTGGAAAACTATCTGTGGGCTGCAGTCCAAGAGTTATGTTGAGATCCTCAGCTTAAGTGACTACTGAGGCTTCCTGTTTTTATCCCAAGCTTTGTTGTAGCTCAGCAGCCAGGGGCTGATGGGTTCACTGATGATTCAGAAGGGATTATGGGATTCCCTAGGGTTCAAAGCGATGCAGGACAGGTTCAAAGTGTTGAAGATTCTGGCCATGGGAATGAAATGGCCGCAGACAGTGCTGAACTCCAAGGTTAGTCACAGGAGCCAGAAACAACATCATTAGATAAGGGGTCGAGGGAAAAAGAATTAAGTGAAACAGAAAACTTTCAAGGGAAAGCACCTGGCAGTACGGAGATAAGCAAGGATCTCCATTTGCAGATCAGAGCAGAGAATCAGCTCCATAGGTTAGAAAGATTACGTGGAAAAGAGAGAAAATTTGTGGGAAATGCCATGACTTCATGACTTCATAACAGCCAATTGTTTACCTTAAAATTAGTTCAAGCAACGTTGGAACCTTAGCCTGAGTTCTTGTGTCAAGTCAAGTTCTGTTTTGGTTTCAAGTGTCATGGGAGTTGCTATATTCTTGTTTAATGATTCTTGCTCAAGTTTTTCCAAGTATATCTTTTGCTTGCGGATTTATGCTGTATTTGTGGTTTTTGGCTATTCCTGGACTGAGTTACCTTTGGATTTTCATGAGACATTTGGAATCCTATGTGGTTATTACCTATTGTTAAACCTGTTTTGGATTATTCCTCTTCTTTCTTTATTTCTACTTTTTTCATATATTCTATGTGTTTTTCCAACTAACTCTTGGCTTATACTCTGGACTCTTGTGTGGTGCTGTGATCATAGGTGGTTCCAGGCCTGGGGTGCAACCAGCTTACCACAAAAAAAACCAGGGTAGTATTCCCTTATCTGACCCTCACAACTCCATTTTAAAAAAAGATATTGTAAATAATAGAATCTTTGCATTCTCAACTAATAAAAACGATATTTTAAAAAAAAATCAGAGCTCCCGGTGGCGCAGTGGGTTAAACCCCTGTGCCAGCAGGACTGAAGACCGACAGGTCACAGGTTCAAATCCGGGGAGAGGCGGATGAGCTCCCTCTATCAGCTCCAGCTCCTCATGCGGGGACATGAGAGAAGCCTCCCACAAGGATGATAAAAACATCAAATCATCCGGGCATCCCTGGGCAACGTCCTTGCAGACGGTCAATTCTCTCACACCAGGAGAGACTTGGAGTCACTCCTGACAAGAAAAAAAAAATTTAAAACCAGGGTAACAGTGAAAAAATTCTGAAAGTTTGAGAAAGACTTCCTTTCTATCTGGTTTCTTATTTTTAGTGATGTAAATCTTCATTTATTTAATTTTTGAGTGTGGTTTTTTTTGCTTTTTTCATGATTGATAATAATAATAATAATAATAATATTATTATTATTATTATTATTATTATTATTATTATTATTATTATTATTTCTTGCTTGCCAAAAATTTACCAAAACTACTTTTATGCAAGGAATTCCATTTTATGCCAAAATTTTGACTATTATAAACACAAATAGTTTTTGTGCAGAAAACTCATACGTTTTGGTGGGAGGAAAATCATAGCCATTGACTATCTTTTTGACCTTGATGTGTTAAGGGACTCTTTCTCATCAGTGATGAAATAAACACATTTTTAATATACCTCCTTCTTGAAAATCCACTGCTCATATTTTCTTTCAGGAGATGCCTGTCAGTCCCATCAGGTCTTATGACATTTATTCAGAGATGGACTGATGTAGTGTTGGCCATGTTGATGAAGGCTGTGTTTCATTATTTTGTCAGATTTCTTTACGGCAATGTTTGAGAAGGTTTCACCCTCAAAATAAAGAAATAGAACCCGACTTCACATTATAGCTTCGACTTTGGAGGCCTCTTTCAACAGTAGTTGGAAAGCGGTGGTACTACCAAACAAAGCGGTCAGAATGGGGCAAAGAAGGGAAAGTGCCTCAGCTGCAGAACATCCAGTCTATGGTTTGTTTACGGCATGCAAACAGGCCCAGAGTGTGATTTTTTAAAATCCCTGGTGCTTTATTCTCTAATTTATGGCACTACTTTTGTATGTTTTCCCCACAGCTGAAAATTGCTCTGGCTACCTCACTTGCGCTCACTGCCTGGATCAGCCTGGCTGTGGCTGGTGCACGGATCCCAGCAACACCGGCAAAGGGAAGTGCATCGAAGGCTCGTCCAGAGGTCCGGTCAAGATGCCAAAGCCAACACCACCTGCTCTGCCAACTGTGAAGGCTTACCAGGAACCTGTCCTCGATGTCAGCTTGTGCCAGGCGGAGAACAAATACAACTGGTCCTATATACAGTGCCCAGGTAACGGAGTGCACATCTGAGCCCATGTACTTTCCATCAGTTTCATGTGAAAACTCTTAATTTTTTTTATTACTCAGGAAGTGGAGGAGTCGGCGGAATTATTTCACATATTGTTTAAAATTTGTTTGGAAGGGACTCACTTGATAGTGCCTGTTGTTGTTCATTCGTTCAGTCGTCTCCGACTCTTTGTGACCTCATGGACCAGCCCACGCCAGAGCTCCCTGTTGGCCGTCACCACCCCCACCTCCTTCAAGGTCAGTCCAGTCACTTCAAGGATGCCATCCATCCATCTTGCCCTTGGTCGTCCCCTCTTCCTTTTGCCTTCCACTTTCCCCAGCATAATTGTCTTCTCTAGGCTTTGCTGTCTCCTCATGATGTGGCCAAAGTACTTCAACTTTGTCTCTAGTCTCCTTCCCTCTAGTGAGCAGTCGGGCTTTATTTCCTGGAGGATGGACTGGTTGGATCTTCTCGCAGTCCAAGGCACTCTCAGAACTTTCCTCCAACACCACGCTCAGCCTTCCCTAAGGTCCAGCTCTCACATCCGTAGGTGACTACAGGGAATACCATGGCTTTGACTAGGCGGATCTAGTGCCTATTTCATTTGAATTCTTGTGGAACAGTTAGTGATGGAGAAGGAGAATGGAAGAGGGGTGGAATGGAGAGAAAGACTGTAAAACGAAGGCAGGTTCATTGCAGTGGTTCTCAACCTGAGGTCCCCAGATGTTTTTGGCCTTCAACTCCTAGAAATCCTAGCAGCTGGCAATCTGGCTGGGATTTCTGGGAGTTGTAGGCCAAAAACATCTGGGGACCCCAGGTTGAGAACCACTGCCTTAGAGGGCGCACAGGATGATCGAGGTAGACTGAACCCAAACCATATAGGGCTTTATAGGGATATACATTGAGAAATTGGGTCGGTATCAAGAAAATAAGGTGCTGTTCAGTCGTGATGTGGGTAGCAAAGTAGCAAAGTGAGTCCTCTGCTGAAGCTGCTTTTTGTTTCCAGCTTGCCAGTGCAACGGGCACAGTAAATGCGTGAACCAGAGCATCTGCGAGAGGTGCGAGAACCTGACCACCGGCAAGAACTGCGAAACCTGTATCTCTGGTTACCATGGAGACCCCACCAACGGAGGGACCTGTCAACGTAAGTCCTGTCCTCATCCGCTCCTGCCTCCTGACCAGCGTGATTTGTATTCTGTTGCCCGTCCAGTCTTACGGTTGAGAGGCAGAGAGCACTAATCATCAAAGGAACTGTTTGTTCTGTGCTAAACGTCTTTCAAATTTTAAGCCAATGTAAGCTGATTTGTGCCACTTGTATAGGTCATTTCACCTGGGCAGCCTTGCGTGGTTTCTTGCCTTTATGTATGCTGTTTTGTATAATTTCTTCTGATTTTATTATTTATTTATTTATTATTTATTTATTTGCTGTATTTGTATACCGCCTTTCTCAGCCAATCGGCAACTCAAGGCGGTTTCCAACAAATCAGTACATATAAAAACATAATACAGATTAAAACATTAAACAACAACACTAATAAAAACATCATTAGCGTCTCATTATTATCAAGCATTGTCCAGTTCCATTGTCAAGTCGTTCGATTTCCTATATTAGCTACTCTGCATTTGTAAACGCTTGCTCGAACAGCCATGTTTTAACTTGCCTCTGAAACGTTAAGAGGGAGGGAGAAGATCTAATCTCCTTAGGGAGGGTGTTCCATAGCTGAGGGGCCACCACTGAGAAGGCCCTGTCTCTCGTCCCCACCAACCGTACTTGAAACGAAGGCGAGACCGAGAGCAGGGCCTCTTCAGATGATGATCCGTAAGGGGAGACACATTCGGATAGGTAAGTTGCGTCAGAACCATTTAGGGCTTTATAGGCCAAAGCCAGCACTTTGAATTGTGCCCGGTAGCAAACCGGCAGCCAGTGGAGCTGGCGCAACAAGGGGCTTGTATGCTCCCTGAGCGCCGCTTCTGTTAGCAACCTGGCTGCTGTTTGTTGGACTAGTTGAAGCTTCCAGACCGTCTTCAAAGGCAACCCCACGTAGAGTGTGTTGTAGACTTTACGGGATGTAACCAGAGCATGGACTACTATTTACTACATTTATACTTACTTACTTACTTAGGCAATTCCTCTTTGTCCAAGTAGGATAGTCCCCAAAGATCAGTACTCTGGTGGGTCTGTAGGTGTCTGTGGAGTCCTATTCTTGATCTGCATCTCTTCCCGCAGGGAGGGCACTGATTTCCAGGTGGAAGGCGGTCCCGGTCGGGGTTGGCTTGATGCGCCTTCCTCTTGGCATGTTTCCCTCTTTTGCCCTCCATTCACGCCTCTTCAAATTCTACAGCACTGCTGGTCACAGCTGACCTCCAGCTGGAGCACTGAAGGGCCTCATTTATATGCTGCCGTTCTCACCCCTAAGAGGAGTCAGAGCGGCTTTCGAGATATATATCCCCACACACACACACACACACACACACACACACACACACACACACACACAAGCTGTGCCCTGCACGCGTTGCTGTGGCCTATAGTAAGAATTTTCGAAGTAGAGGTAGATATCTGGAGTATTATGAAAGAGAGGTACCTACCTATTCTTTCCCCCTTTTCCCCTTCCCATTTCTCTCCTTTCTTCCTTCTCTACCTCTTTCTTTCATTCCTTCTTTCGCTCTTTGGTTTCATCCTTCCTTCTCTCTTTCCTTCCTTCCCTCCCCCTTTCTCTACTTCTTCCTTTGTCTCCTTTCTTCCCTCTCTGTTTCCTTCCTTCTTTCACTTTTTATTTCCTTTTCTCCTTCCTTCCTTCCTTCCTTCCTTCCTTCCTTCCTTCCTTCCTTCCTTTCCTGCCTTTCCTCCCCTTTTTCTTTCCTTTCTACTTTGTATTCTTCCTTCTGTACCTCTTTCTTTCCTTCCTTCGTTCTCTCCATTCCTTCCCTCTTTCCTTCCTTCTTTCCCTCCCTCCTTCTCTTCCTTCCCCCTTTCCCTCCTTCATTCCTTCCCTTTTTCCCTCCCTCCTTTCTTCTCTCCTTCCTTCCTGTCTGTTCTCCCTCAATACTATGGTAGAGTCCCTTCTAACTCTATTCTATGAGTCTATTTAATATAGTAATATTTTGAATTTAAAGGTATTTTTGTGGGGTTTTTTTTTTCCAGTGATGGTCACTCCTTCGATTGTGAGGAATTTTGTTGCCAAATTTGAGGTCATTTGGCCCAGTAGTTTTTTTTTTGTTTTCAAGGTACTCATTATGCACAGAGCATTTTTTTCTATATATAGATATACATACACTATATTATATTATTAGCATAGTACAATATAAGTATTATATATTACTATGTTGTACTATACCATTATATTGTAATATTATTAGTAATATTCCATGTAATATAAAATATATAATTATTATATTGCATTATTTTTATTAGTATTATATTGTATTACATTATAATATTGCAGTGTTTCTCAACCTGGGGGTCGGGGCCCCTGGAGGGGTTGCCAGGGGGTGTCGGAGGGGTCGCCAAAGACCATCAGAAAACACAGTATTTTCTGTTGGTCATGGAGGTTCTGTGTGGGAAGTTTGGCCCAATTTAAATGTTGGTAGGGTTCAGAATGCTCTTTGGTTGTAGGTGAACTATAAATCCCAGCAACTACAACTCCCAAATGTCAATGACATCAGAGAGTAAACAATCAGGCACATTAAATCACCTCTCAAAGAAAGATTCCCCCAGGCACTTCCAAGCCATTAAATGCTAATCAAGGTGGTCAGTTGAAACATTCACATCTAGCTCCAGCAGAAAAGTGTCCTTTGTCCCACCCTGGTCATTCCACAGATATATAAACCCATTTTCCTACTTCCAACAGACCTCATTACCTCTGAGGATGCTTGCCATAGATGCAGGCGAAACATCAGGAGAAAATGCCTCTAGACCATGGCCATATAGCCCGGAAAACCTACAACAACCCAGTGATTCTGGCCATGAAAGCCTTCGACAATACATTGTCAATATCTATTTTCCCCAAACTCCATCAATGTTCACATTTGGGCATATTGTGCCAAGTTTGGTCCAGATCCATCATTGTTTGAGTCCACAGTGCTCTCTGGATGTAGGTGAACTACAACTCCAAAACTCAAGGTCAATGCACACCAAACCCTTCCAGTGTTTTCTGTTGGTCATGGGAGTTCTGTGTGCCAAGCTTGACTCAATTCCATTGTTGGTGGAGTTCGGGATGCTCTTTGATTGTAGGTGAACTATAAATCCCAACAACTACAACTCCCACAGGACAAAGTCAATACCCTCCCCCAATCCCACCAGTATTAAAATTTGGGCGTATCGGGTATTTGTGCCAAATTTGGTCCAGTGAATGAAAATACATCCTGCCTATCAGATATTTACATTACTATTCATAACAGAAGCAAAATGGCAGATATGAAGTAGCAATGAAACTAATTTTATGGTTGGGGGTCATCATAACATGAGGAAGCGTATTAAGGGGTTGTGGCATTAGGAAGGTTGAGAACCACTGTAATATTGTAAATTACAATATTTATAATATTTTACCACTTGGGAGAGTCACATGGGAAGTGCCATAGCCTCTATTCCTCTGAATTTCAATAGGCATTTCTTACCCACTTTTAAACATTTCTCCCCCACATTAAGGGCCTAGAAAGGATACAAAAGTGAGAGCTAAGATGGTCAGGGAGCTTGTCTGCATTTTCTACGCTCCCGAAGACCTGTAGCAGCGATACAGGACCGATCATAAAGGACGTAACTGGAGCATCAGCTCTCTTTTAATTTTAGATGTTTGGAGTTGTTCAGGGACCATTGAACAACCATCCAAAAATATCATCCAGAAGTGGATCACACGATTAATTAAAATAGATGTTTACTGTGGTCATCTGGAATTCAAGTATTAAAGACTAAGTATTCACTTTCCCAGCCATTGACTTTTACACAGCCTGTGGCATTTTATTTTAGGTCTTTACCTAAAATGAGTGGTAAAATCCTGTATTTAGCTCTTATTCTGTGGACATGAGCCCATCTGTAAAGTTCTGAAAGTGCTTCTAAAGCCTGATAGAGGCAAGTAAAAAAGCCACATATTGAGTAAAGTCATACATCATGCTGAGTAAAGAAGCCCCATTAAATGGTTTAATGCTCATTAATGTGATCTGTTTTACTGAATCCGGCCTCTTTCTTCCAGCTTGCAAGTGTAATGGCCATGCTTCGGTCTGCAATACCAACTCAGGGAAGTGTTTCTGCACCACAAAAGGAATCAAAGGAGAGGAGTGTCAACTGTGAGTAGCACTTTGTCAGGCAATATCTGGTATTTAGACCTTTGAGAAACATACACATAAATATTGCCAAATGTAGGTGAGGATTTGCACCTTTGAAATCTGGGCCTAGTCCTTTTAGCGTAGGTACCATTTTACCTTGTCTGAATGGAGGGAATTGATACATCCAGGGAAGGCATGAATAGATCTAGGGAAGTCATGCTCCCCATGCTCTATTCTGCCTTGGTTAGACCACACCTGGAATATTGTGTCCAATTCTGGGCACCACAATTCAAGAGAGATATTGACAAGCTGGAATGTGTCCAGAGGAGGGCGACTCAAATGATCAAGGGTCTGGAGAACAAGCCCTATGAGGAGCAGCTTAAGGAGCTGGGCGTGTTTAGCCTGAAGAAGAGAAGGCTGAGAGGGAGATATGATAGCCATGTATAAATATGTGAGAGGAAGTCACAGGGAGGAGGGAGCAAGCTTGTTTTCTGCTTCCCTGGAGACTAGGGCGTGGAACAATGGCTTCAAACTACAAGAAAGGAGATTCCACCTGAACATTAGGAAGAACTTCCTGACTGTGTGAGAGAGCTGTTCAGCAGTGGAACTCTCTGCCCCAAAGGGAGTGTGGTGGAGGCTCCTTCTTCTTCTTCTTTTTTTTTTAAAGAATTTTATTAGATTTTTCATAATACAACGAAAGAGTGGGAACAATAACAATATAGAAAGAGAGAAAAAGATAGAAGTATATAAAGAGAAGAAAAAGTGAAAAATAAAAAAATACAAAATACAAAAAAAAAATACAAAAAGAAAAAGAAAAAAATTTTCTTGGTTAATGCCTTTTTATTATTAAAAATATTCCCTAAAAAAATAAATGTCTATCGTGTCTTCTATTTTCGCAATTTCTCCAGGTAGTTGTGGAGAGGGTCCCAATTTGTTCTTTTTAACGTATTGCCCATATTTTTTTTCAACAAAAAAGTCAATTCATCCATGTCCATAATTTCCATAATTTTTTCTATCCACTCTTCTATAGGTGGATTTAATTCTTGCTTCCATTCTCTTGCAAAGGCAATTCTGATGGTAGTTGTGATAAATGTAAAAAGCTTACCTTCTTGTTCATTTAGTTGTAAATCTAAATCTGTAAACCCAAGTAAGTAGTACTCCGTTGTTTTTTTTTTGTGAACTTTATTTTTAAAATCTTCTGTACTTCTTTGTGTATTTCTGTCCAAAACTTGGATGCTACTTTACAGGTCCACCACATATGGAAAAAGGATCCAAGTTGCTGAGGCGCCTTCTTTAGAAGCTTTTAAACAGAGGCTGGATGGCCATCTGTTGGGAGTGGTTTGAATGAGATTTTCCGGCTTCTTGGCAAAATGGGGTTGGACTGGATGGCCCACAAGATCTCTTCCAACTCTGTGATTCTATGAAATCTTCTGAATAGGGGCATAGGCAACAAAACAAATCCCCACAGGGGTGTTAAGCCTTCTTTAAGCAATCCAAAGCTGAGATAGATAGATAGATAGATAGATAGATAGATAGATAGATAGATAGATAGATAGATAGATAGATGGATAGATGGATAGATGGATAGATGGATAGATGGATGGAGTTACACTTAATATATGTATCTGTCCCGACTTACAAATTCTACTTAAGAACAAATGTACAGAACCTATCTTCTTTGTAACTTGGGGACTGCCCATAGTTTAGCTTATTCTTAGGTTACTGTTTGCCATTTTTAGGCAGGTTCTTGTCGTGTTCTCCAGGTTTCCCATTTATTGTTGCTTTGCTGTGGTCTGGTCTTCTGTCTTGACATTTTTAAATCAACTCCTTAAATATTTAGTCTTGCTCTAATTTTTTAAAATGAAAATCAGCCTTTTAAGTTAATGAGGGGTGTGACTTTAAAGAAAACAAACCTTTTACAACGCTGGGTTCAAGAGAAAATTAAACCTAAAGGTCAACATTCTTGATGTGAGCCATTTATTATGATCAACAGATCAGAGAAAACATTCTTATGGGTTCTTTCTTCTAGGTGCGAAGTTGAAAATCGGTACCAAGGCAATCCTCTTAAAGGGACATGTTACTGTGAGTACAAACTATGGAGTATTTTTGTTTTGGTTGTATTTAAAATCAGTACTAGTGCATCAAATACATTTGAAATACATAACTTCCAGGTGAATCAGTCGTTTCTCCCTTCTAGCTATCCCTTCTGGAGAAATGTAGTAATGGTCTAGCCACAATAACTCTCCCTTAAAGTTATTTACTTGGATACCCCTTCCATTTCATTCCCTTTCACTGAACTCAGGTTCTATCGCACTGTTTCTGAGTCTTGGTTTTTCTTATGCTCAGATCACAATGTAAAATATCTTGTACGTAAACAGTGTTTATTATTGTGTTGTCAAAGGCTTTCAAGGCCGGAATCACTGGGTGGCTGTGATTTTTTCGGGCTTGTTCCAAAAATATTCTCTCTTGATGTTTTACCCCCAAAGGAAGAACTTTGGGTTGCTGTGAGTTTTCCAGGCTGTATGGCTATGTTTCAGAAGCATTCTCTCCTAGCGTTTTGCCCACATCTATGGCAGGCATCTTCAGAGATTGTGAGGTCTTTTGGAAACTAGACAAGTGAGGTTTATGTATCTGAGGAATGTCCAGACTGTGCAGACTTTGCAAAATGAATCTGAGAAGGCCACCTTCTCCTAGGTGAATGGAACCACCTAAATTGGGCTCTACAGATCAATGGAGACTCCACCACAGACATCAGAAGAGCTGCAAGACCAAGAACAAGCCATGAGAGTCAAGACAAAGACCCACCCAGAGGAAAAGTGTTCTTGTCATACATCAAGGGAACCACTGACCGCAAAGGGAAGCTGATAGAGAAACACAACCTACAAATGATCTACAGACCCACTAAGAAAATCCAACCAATGCTGCGTTCAGCAAAGGACAAGAGGGATCCTCTCACCTCTGCAGGAGTCTACCGTATACCATGCAGCTGTGGACAAGTCTACAGAGAGACCCCCAAACGCAGCAGCATTGCCCAGGCACAAAACAAGGAACATGAAAGGTGCTGCACTCCAGAACAGGAAATAGCCCTTCTGACTGTAAACACACCACACGTTTTTTTTATTAAGGCTTAGCAAAAAAGTCAGTAGAAATAAATCCTTGTAAAGATAAGATTCCAAAAAGCAATAAGGCATTCAAAGGCCGCAAGATAAAACAGTGTCCAAACGTAGCAATCAAAAGCAATGTCCAAAAAACATGAAAATACAATTCATGGCAATGATCATCTAGACAAGAATCAAACAAGAAGCAGGAACAGACCAGATGCTGCTAGTCACCTTGAAAGTCTAGAAAAATCCATGAAGATGAGACCACTTGAACAGGAATTCCATGAGGCTTATACTTGGTTTCCCAACGATGCCTGATTTGATAAGATTTCCTAAAGGCAAACCTTAAATCCCAAAAACTGGTTTTGTTTTCCTTCAGTCTTTGACCTTAACTGACAAATTCTTTCTGATCTATGTAAACATTGGTCCTCTTGTCGATTCTGGCTAATCTCCAGGTGTCAGACTGTTTTCCAAACTAGAATCTGGAGAGCTCACAGGCGGAGGGAGTAAACCTGACAGAAACATTCACATGAGAATCTGCCCTTCGCACTGAAACCTCTCTGTCAGTGCCTGCATGAAACTCATTGACCAAAGTGTCTCCATCTTGCACCTCAGAGCCAGCCCTAGCATCCCCCACATCAGAAGCAATAGGGGACTGATTTCCCTCCTCATTACCCATATCAGACACAGAAACATCAGGAGACTGAAATACATTCACAGGTTCAAGCACAGGCTCAGGTTCAATCACAGGCTGAGTCCCAACAAAAGGCACTGCAGACTACTTCAACCAGAGAAGTCAGCCATAGCAGAGCACCTGATGAACCAACCTGGACACAACATATTATTTGAGAACACAGAAATGCTGGACCACTCTCCCAACCATCATGTCAGATTACACAGAGAAGCCATTGAAATCCACAAGCATGTGGACAATTTCAACAGAAAGGAGGAAACCATGAAAATGAACCAAATCTGGCTACCAGTATTTTTAAAAATCTAAAATGAGGACAGTAAATAAAGAGCAACACTCAAAAGCCGGGGAATTCTGGACAAGAATCAATTAGGGCCAGCCAACACCTCCCAACAAAGGATTCCCTCAGGCAGCAAACTGCCAGACTTTGAATTTGCAAGACCATTCAGTGATAATCAAGGTGGCCAACTGCAACATTCACACTTGCTTCAAATAGATAAGAGTTCTTTCTCTCACCCCACCTTGGACATTATTCCACAGATATATAAACCCCATTTTCCTAGTTTCCAACAGACCTCACAACCTCTGAGGATGCCAGCCATAGATGCAGGTGAAACATCAGGAGAGAATGCTTCTGGAAAATGGCCAGACAGCCCAGAAAATTCACAGCCACCTAATGTTTGTTATTGCTTTTTAATCCTTTACCTTGACTGTTTTGGAGCAGGGATTTATTCCTCGTGTCGCTTTCGTCAAGTAGATACTTTCAAAGCAAGGGTTCATAGGTGAACTGTATTTCAGTCTTTGAGATGATGCTTGATTGTTTGTTCTCTCGTCCTTCATTCCGTCCAGTGGTCTAGGAAATGAGATTTTCTTTGCTCCACCAGTGTATTCCCCAAATATTTCCTTTTTTATTCGCAGTGGATTTTGAGCCGGAAAGCTCTTAAGAGAACACCTGAAAAAACAATACCGAAGGTTGCTTGCTGAGCAAGAAGCAAGTAGACTTGAGGAGCCTTTTGAAAGCATTAGGATGCTTGGTATTGTTCTTAAAGTGTTCCCTTGAAAAGAGCTCCTTTTTGGGGGGGAAATTGAAATACGCTGGCAATAAAAAAGAGAGTGAAAATATTGAGAGGAAATATATTAGTGCAGCTGCTTTTTTGTTTACATACACAATTTTACAGTTATTACTTTGATCCACTTTGGTGGGGCACTCTCTGCAAGAAGCAGGGTCTTTTCATAAATGGAGGACTGTTTGGATGAGGAGCTCTCCATTTCCACACAGCAATGGCTTCCCCACTCTTTTTTACCCATAAACTAATTGTATATAATATCTTGGCTTACACTTGGTCTGTCAGAACTTTTGATGAGTTGGGCATAGGGCCAGATAAAGTATCAGAAAATTGTCCTTTTCCTCCATCATCCATGGTGATAGAAGGTCACCTAAAGAGGTCCTGAGTCAAGGCCCTGAACAGCACAGCTTGAGAGTGTGTCTGGCTTCGTTCCCAGAAGGCATGGAGCCATGTAATTGAATCCTGGTTCTATCAGCAGAGGTTTCCTCCATCGCTTTTGCTGGTGGGAGGTGGCTTCTTGGCCAAAATATGGGTCACCCTATTAATGGAGGAAGGAAGGATGGATCCATGGCCAATGCTAAGCCAGACTTCTCGGCTGCAATCCACAAAAGTTGTGGCTTGTTTTGATTCCATATTGGAAGTGTCTAAGTCTGAGTTGGAGGTTGGAGCTCTGACTCATTGCTAAGTCAGACATAGACATCAAACCCTCTAGGTAGAAACTGTCTCCCATTCCTCCCTATAATGTTGAGACATCAGATGATAAAACAGTGAGGTATTTCTGCCTGATACGCTTAGCTGTTCTCCTGTACCTGTTTGTGTTTCATCTTTCCCCAATTCACGTAGAGAACAATGATGCGGCGCCCTCGTATTTTCTTTTGCGCAAGCTGCCAGCCTCCCCACAATTCTGGCTTTGGACCAAGGCACTTCCTCACTCTCTTTTGTATACTCCCATACAGACACTCTTCTTATTGACTATCAATTCACCTTCAGTCTTTCGCAAGAAGATGATCGCTATTATACAGCAATCAATTTTGTAGCAACGCCTGAAGAGGTTAGTAAATTCTCTCTACTGCACTTCAAGTTATTTATTAAAATGCCTAGGTGCCTAGTGCAGTTTGTATATTATGTGTCATGATGAATTTCCTTCCCCCAGTGAGCTGCGTGCGTGCGTGCGCCTCCTCCCACTAGCTTGCGCTCACTTTACCCTCTGAGGTAGGGTGCAGCTCTCCTGCTTTCCCAGGTGGGAAACTCACACTCTGAAGAGTTCATGCTCCCAAGGCACCTGGAATGACTCTAAAGTGGCGTCATGTGATTTGTAATCCACCTGAGGAGTCAATCTGAGAAGAGTTCATGCTCCCAAGACAGGCCTGGGCAAACTTTCCAACCTGGGGGCCACGTGCTAGCACTCCCTGCTAGGAGGACTGGCTTCCTGGTGATGGATGGATGGATGGATGGATGGATGGAAGGAAGGAAGGAAGGAAGGAAGGAAGGAAGGAAGGAAGGAAAGGAGGAAGGAACAAGAGAAGGAAGGAAGGAAAGAGAAAGGAGGAAGAAGGGAAGGGAGGAAGGAAGGAAGGAAGGAAGAAGAAAGGGAGGAGGGAAGAAGGAAGGAAGGAGGAAGGAAGGGAAAGAGGAAGGAAGAGAAGAGGAAGGAAGGGAAGGAAGGAAAAGGGAGGAAGGGAAGGAAGGATGGATGGAAAGAAAGAGGGAGAGAGGGAAGGAGGAGGGAAAAGGGAAGGAAGGAAAGAAAAGGGAGGAAGGGAAGAAGAGGAAAGAAAGGGAGAGAGGAAGGGGGGGGAAGAGGGAAAGAAGGAAGGATAAAGGAGAGGGAAAGGATGGAAGGAGAAAGATGGAGAGAGGAAGGAGGGAGAGAAGAGGGAAGGAAGGAAAGACAAAAGGGAAGGAAAGAAGGATGAAAGGGTAGAAGGGAAGGATGGAAGGAAGAAAGGGAAGGGTGAAGGAAACAGGGAAGGAAGGAAAGACAAAAGGGAAGGACGGAAGAATGAAAGGGTGGAAGGGAAGGAAGGATGAAAGGGAAGGGAAGCAAAAGGAAGGAAAGACAAAAAGGAAGGAAGGAGAAAGAGGGAGGAAAGGAAGATGAAACGGTGGAAGGGAATGGAGTGAGGGAGAAAGGAAAGAAGAAAAGGAAGGAAAGGACAAAAGGAAGAAAAGGGAAAGGAGAAAGAGAGAAGGAAGGATAAAGGTTGGAAGGGAAGGAGAAAGAGGGAGGGAAGGAGGAACAAAAGAGAGAAGGAAGGAAGGATGGATAGGATGGGATGGGATGAGATGGGTTGGTGAGAGAGAGGAGGGCCTGAGAAAAGACCCCAAGGGCCGCATCTGGCAGAATGACTCTGAAGTGGCATCACGTGATTTGTAATCCACTTGAGGAGTACGTACTACTTTGTGAAAGCAATGGCTCACGCAATTAAAAACAAATCCAAAAAAACTTTTTACTCTGAATTTCCAAAAATACAACTAATTTGTACACGCATACCAGCCAGATTTACGTAAAGGAAAATAAAGCAGATGTGTAAGCACCTTCGCTGTAGTTTCCTCCCATGATTAGTAGCCTCCCATGAGCCTGATGGCAATGTGGTTATGCTGGATCCCCAATTAATTGCACAAACTTAATTTCAACTTTCAGACTAAGCCTAAAATGTGAAAGAGGATTGTGTGGATCTTAGCATGCTGTTATTCTTGGTCTCAAGTCTGGTTTTAATGGAGGTAGCTCTGTCTTTAAGATATTAATCCATGTTTTTTTTCTCCCTTTTGTCTCCTGGAATTAGCAAAACAGGGACCTGGACATGTTTATCAATGCTTCTAAAAACTTCAACCTCAACATCACTTGGTCAACAAGTTTTGCAGGTGAGAGCTGTCTTCTCTATCCCAAACAGGTATATAGCAGGCATGGGCCAACTTCAACCCTCCAGGTGTTTTGGACTTCAACTCCCACAGTTCCTAACAGCCTACTGGGTTAAAGTTGCTCATGTCTGCTATATAGAGTTTGAATTAGAAATATTTAAAGAATGTTTATTTAAAACATTTATATTCCTCTCTTCTCACCCTGAAGAAAGACAAAAGGGAAGGAAGGAAGGAGACAGAAGGGGGGACGAAAGAGGGAAGGATGGACAAAATGGTGAAAGGGAAAGAAGGAGGGAGGGAGAAAGAGGGAGAGAAGGAAGAAAAGGGTGGAAGGGAATGGAGTGAGGGAGGGAGGAAAGGCAAAGGGAAAGGAAGGGAGGAAGGGGAAAGAGAGAGAGGGAAGGAGGGACAAAGGGGAAGAGGAAGGATGAAAGAGTGGAAGGAAGGAAGAGGGAGGGAGAAAGAGGGAGGGGAGGGAGGAAGGAGGAAAGAAAGACAAATGGGAAGGAAGGAAGGAGAGGGAAGGAAGGACAAAAGAGCGAAGGAAGGATCAAAGGAAAAAAGGAGAGAGGGAGGAAGAGGGAGAGAAGGAAGGAAGAGTGGAAAGGAATGGAGGGAAGGAGGAAAGGCAAAAGGGAAGGAAGGGAGGAAGGGAGGAAGGGGAAAGAGAGAGAAGGGGGTAGGGAGGAAAGAGGGAAGGCAGGAAGGACGAAAGGTGGAAGAGAAGGAAGGAGGGAGGGAAGGAGGAAAGAAAGACAAAAGGGAAGGAAGGATTGGGAAGGGGGGATGAAAGAGAGAAGGATGGACGAAAGGGAAAGAAGGAGGGAGGGAGAAAGAGAAGAAGGAGGAAGGGTGGAAGGGAAGGGGGGAGGGAGGAAAGGCAAAAGGGAAGAAGGAGAAGGAAGAGGAAGGAAGGAAGGAAGGAAGGAAGGAAGAAGGAAGGAAGGAAGGAAGGAAGGAAGGGGAAAGAGAGAGAAGGAAAAAGGGAAGAAAGAGGGAAGGCAGGAAGGACACAAGGGTGGAAAAGAAGGAAGGAGGGAGGGAGAAAGAGGAAGGGAAGGAGGAAAGAATGACAAGGAAGGAAGGAAGGAGAGGGAAGAGGGGACAAAAGGGTGAAAGAGAAAGAAGGAGGGAGGGAGAAAGAGGGAGAGAAGGAAGGAGGGGAACGAGGAATTAAAGAGAGAAGGAAGGAAGGATAGAATGGTGTAAGAGAGTAGGGGCTGAGAAAAGAGCCCAAGGGGCCACATCCTCCCCCGGGCCTGGGTTTCCCCATACATGCATTATATCCTCATACTCTAAAAAGGTATTTTCCACCTTATACTTCTTCCTCCTTGGCTCATCTTTTCCTTTGCTCCTCCTTCCGATTTCTCCTCCCTCTTACTGTATTGTTTCCCCATGTCTTGCCACCTAGGCTTTGATTCCCCCAGTGTCCTAGCTTTAGGCTTAAACTTCCTTTCTTCTACAGTCATTCCATTAATTGCAGTACTTCTGTGGCCGCGAGGCAGTTCAGTGAACGCCTGGAGGAGGCTCATATCAGAAAGGCCGCCTCTTCCACTTCATCGCATTGCAAATTTAAAAGCGGTGCTGGGCTGAGAATCCAGAGCCTTTATTCTAGTTCATGTCAATAGATTCAATGTTCTTTGAAGGTTCTAAGCCTGCTATTGGCTCCCGGGGTCTTTCCTTAAAGTTTTGCATTGAATTAAAGCAACTTCCAGGCTACCTGTGGAGTGTCTGCTATTTCTAAGACTAAATGTTCGCCCATTTGTTCTTTTGCTTAGGATTCTGAACCATGAAAGTAGTAGCTCATGATTCCAAATCAGTAGTACACTTACTTCTTTAATCCCCTTTTTTCTCTGACTGTCTAATGGCAAAGGGAGTATCGAAGATGAAAGGAGCCAGTTCCAGTTCCTCTTCCTACACACGGAACAAAGGTGGCTTCGCAGTTCACTAGTTTTATTCATTTATTTACAACATTTATATCCTGAAGGGGACTCAGACAGGCTTACAAGTTATGTAAATACAATATAGCATAGCACAATATTAGTATTATATATTACTATATTGTACAATACCACTATACTGTAATATTATTAGTAATATTGCATGTAATATTATTTATTTATTATTTATTTCCAGCATTTCTACCCCGTCCTTCTCAACCCCCGAAGGGGGACTCAGGACGGCTTACATTTGGCATAATTTGATGCCATTAAATATAACAAAGCAATATAACAACAATTAAAACAAAAAATAGAACATTAATTAAAACAATAAAAATGGTATTAACCACCGTATTACCATTCCAGTCAAATTCCATATCCAAAGCGCTATTTATGCCTGCTGTCCAAAAGCTTGGCCCCAGAACCACGACTTCAATTTCTTCCTAAAAGACAAGAGGGATGAAGCCGATCTTACCTCATTGGGAAGTGAGTTCCACAGGCAGGGGGCTACAGCCGAGAAGGCCCTGTCTCTCATCCTCGCCAGACTATTTGCGACGCTGGCAGGAGTGAGAGCAGGGTCTCCCCGGATGATCTTAAACTGTAAGTAAGCTGGGCCAGAACCGTATAGAGCTTTATAGGTCAAAACCAGCACTTTGAATTGAGTTCGGAAGTGGATCAGCAGCCAGTGGAGCTGACACAACAATGGGATGGTGTGCTCCCTGTATGTCGCTCCAGTTAGTAATCTGGCTGCAGCCCGTTGGACTAGTTGAAGTTTCTGAACAGTCTTCAAGGGAAGCCCCACGTAGAGTGTGTTGCAGTAATCTATTCAGGATGGAACCAGAGCGTGGACTACCGTGGCCAAGCCAGACTTTTCAATGTGTGGGCAAAATGGCGCACAAGTTTTAATTTTGCAAAAGCTCCCCTGGCCACCGCCAAAACCTGGGGTTCCAGGCTCAGCGATGAATCCAGGATCACTCCCAAGCTGCAAACCTGCATCTTCAGGGGGAGTGTAACCCTGTCAAGCACGGGCTGTAACCCTATGCCCTGTTCAGCCTTTTTATTATTGTTATATATTAATAACTATTATATTGTATTAGTATTATATTATATTACATTATAATATTCTTATCAACATTCTATGTATATACATTATGTTATGTTATATTACATGCACAGCACAATATTAATGTTATATATTACTATATTGTTGCTGGGTGGAGGGGCTCTGATGACCCAGGAGACATGGTGGAACTGTCTTCCTGGCTCCCCTTCTTCACTCTGGTCCCAGAGCGGCAGTTGGTGCTGCAGGGAGAAGCTCCTACCTTTTCTGTTTTTGGCATGGGCAAACATTGGCCATCCAGGTGTTTTAGACTTCAACTCGCACAATTCCTAACAGCTTTGGGCCCTTTCCCTTTCCCCCTCAGCTGCTTAAGCTGAGTGCTGGGCCCATAACCAACATTAGGCTCTGTTGCGAATGCAGAATGCAAGGCCGCTGAAGTGGCTGAGGGGGAAAAGGAAGGGGCCTGAGGCTGATAGGAATTGTGGGAGTTGAGGTCCAAAACATCTGGAGCACTGAAGTTTGCCCATGCTTGGTATACATTGAAGCCCACTTTGCATATGATGGTACAAAGAGGATCTGAAGAAGCAAACATTTATCTATCTTCCACATCATGAACGCATGTGTTGGCTGCTGCGACATTAACTTTTTATGCCACGGCATCGCCTCTGTTCAGTGATAGCAGCAATGAAACTAAACTCAGCATCTCCTAGTTTAAATGACACCATTTAATTTTATTATCAACGGGTCTTGCCGTATAATTAAAGGAAGAAGAGTACCCTTTGGAATATGACTGAGCATTTCACTCCAGACAGACGGTTCGTTTTTATTGCATTCAGATCTTGGCTTTCCACCAAGTTGCGCTGAGTGGCGTGCGTGGTTTTCTCTCCCCGGGTTTTGTCATTTCAATTTCCCAGACCAGGTTTGTTTGACAGGATGCAACTGGTCCCAGGCCCCTTGTACATGTGTGAGGTAACTTGAGTGTGGTAACTTAATCTGCTCCCCTTTAAAACATTCACAGCTGGCACCCAGGCAGGGGAGGAGATCCCCGTGGTTTCCAAGAGCCAGATCAAGGAGTACAAGGACAGCTTCTCCAATGAGAAATTTGACTTTCGCAACAATCCCAACATCACTTTCTTTGTCTATGTCAGCAACTTTACCTGGCCAATCAAAATACAGGTAAGAGACTTTTAATGTACTAGAGAATGACTGAGACTAAGCGGAATGTATGTGAGCTTTTGGGTCATCTTACTTGATGTTCAGCCTACAACCATGGTGTATCTTCTGCTTATCATTGCTGGCGGGTGGAGGGGCGAGGCAGAGGTAAACTGGTATTGGAGATATCCACAGGCTCCCAAGTTGTACAAATGGATCATCGGGAAGGGGACTTCCCTGTTACATCATCCTCTCAGATACTTACTTTACTTACTTACTTAGGCGATCCCTCGTAGTCCGAGGATGATGGTACTCCAAGTGTAGTATCCTGGTGGTGGGTCCGTAGGTGACTGTGGAGCCCTATTCTTGACCTAATCAAGGTGGTCAGTTGAAACACTCACACCTAGCTCCAGCAGAAAAGAGTCCTTTGTCCCACCCTGGTCACTCCACAGATATATAAACCCCTTTTTCCTAGTTCCAACAGACCTCACTACCTCTGAGGATGCTTGCCATAGATGCAGGCGAAACGTCAGGAGAGAATGCCTCTAGAACATGGCCATATAGCCTGAAAAAGCCTACAACAACCCAGTGATTCCGGCCTTGAAAGCCTTTGACAATACATTATTATTATTATTATTATTATTATTATTATTATTATTATTATTGTTATTATTGTTATTATTATTATATAAGTACTTATGAAGATTTATAAGTTTCATTAGTGTTCCAAAATTTTTACCCCCCAAATTCAGAACGAACTTTAGAAACGAAGCGCCAGGGACCCTAATTTGGAACACAGTTTAGAACCATTTTTAATGGATCGCACATGTCTATTAATTACCAGCCATAGCAGAGCACCTGGCACAGCATATTATTTGAGAACACAGAAATGCTGGACCACTCTCACAACCACCATGTCAGACTACACAGAGAAGCCATTGAAATCCACAAACATATGGACAAGTTCAACAGAAAGGAAGAAACCATAATAGTGAACAAAATCTGGCTACCAGTATTAAAAGAAAGAGGAACACAGGGGAATTCCAGACATGAAACAATCGGCCAGCTAGCATCTCCCAACAGTGGCTAGAGGGTCACACCCAGAAAGTGTTATTGGGGGACACCTGCTCAACCCCACAACCATTGTCTTGTGGGGTTCCTCAGGGCTCAATACTGTGTCCCATATTGTTTAACATCTACATGAAGCCGCTGGGGGAGATCATCCTGAGTTTCGGGGTACGGTGTCACCTGTATGCAGATGACATCCAACTCTGTCACTCCTTTCCACCTGCTACTAAGGAGGCTGTCCAGGTCCTGAACCGGTGCTTGGCCACTGTGACGGTCTGGATGTGGGCAAACAAATTGAAACTGAATCCAGACAAGACAGAGGTACTCCTGGTCAGTTGCAAGGCCAAACAGGGTATAGGGTCATGGCCTGTGTTGGATGGGTCACGTTCCCCCTGAAGACACAGGTTCGCAGCTTGGCTGTGATCCAGGACTCATTGCTGAGCCTGGAAACCCAGGTCTCAGCAATGACCAGGGGAGCATTTGCACACTTGTGCGCCAGCTGCGCCCGTACCTTGGGAAGTCTGACTTGGCCACAGTAGTCCACGCTCTGGTTACATCCCGTATAGACTACTGCAACGCTCTCTACGTGGGGTTGCCTTTGAAGACTGCTCGGAAGCTTCAATTGGTCCAACGGACAGCAGCCAGATTACTAATGGGAGTGGCACTCAGGGAGCATACAACTCCTCTGCTGAGCCAACTCCACTGGCTGCCAGTTTGCTACCGGGCACAATTCAAAGTGCTGGCATTAGCCTATAAAGCTCTAAATGGTTCCGGCCCAACTTACCTGTCCGAACACATCTCCCCTTATGAACCATCTAGGATATTAAGATCATCTGGGGAAGCCTTGCTCTCAACTCCGTCTGCGTCACAAATGCATTTGGTGGGGACGAGAGACAGGGCCTTCTCAGTGGTGGCCCCTCGGCTATGGAATGCCCTTCCTAGGGACATTAGATCAGCCCCTTCCCTTCTGATTTTCCGAAAAAAAGTCAAAATCTGGCTATTTGAGCAGGCCTTTGAAAAGGCAGTGTAATTAGACATAAGATAATGGAACAGTTGGACTATGAGATTGGATTATGTTTTTTATCTAGGAGATGAAATGATTGTTTTTGAATTGATGTGTCAATGCTTTTTAATATTATTATGAAGTTGTTGGCATTGAGTTGTTGCCTTGTGAACCGCCTCGAGTGGCCTACGGGCTGAGAGGGACGGTATACAAATATAGCAAATAAATAACAAATAAATAAATAACAAAGGATTCCCCCAGGCAAGAAGCAGCCAGGCTTTGAAACTGCAAGGCTATTCAATGCTAATCAAGCTGTCCAATTACAACATTCACACTTGCCTTAGGCAGACAAGAGTTTTTCTCCCACTCTGGACATTCCACAGATATATAAACCCCACTTGCCTAGTTTCCAACAGACATCTAAACCTCTGAGAATGCCTGCCATAGATGTGGGCAAAATGTCAGGAGAGAATGCTTCTGGAACATGGCTATACAGCCCGGAAAACTCACAGCAACCCTGCCCTAATATTGTGTCTTCCTTTCTGGTTGGGCTGATATGAATGGCGGTCAAATAGTTGCCTTAGGGGAAAGATCATTTGTGAAGGAAAGCAAATAAGGGGTGAAGCAACTCTTTACCTAGACTTAATTTCCCCCTCCTCCTCAGACAATCCTCTCTCTGTTAGATTTTGGGAGAGCTAGTTTGTATATTAGCTTAGGCAAAGCATTTGGTGAGCTGTAGTTCTTGTTTAACGAAGGGCAGAAATATATGCCACAAAAATTATGCATCAAGAAATTATTTTGCCCAATGACTACTGCAGACATGTGCTTACAAAGCAACAGTGATGTGGCACTTCAGATAATAAAAAATATATTGTCAAAGCGTATCTCATTAGATGCATATGGCGTGTTGTTATCTCAGTTGGGAAACGGTGTACATGTTCATATCTGAAACTAGGGAGAAGGAGGGGAGATGCAAAAAGGGAGCCTGTTCATCACGGAAATTTAAAATGCACAGTATGTGGCAAGTTGATTAGAGCTTTAATGTATGTAAAATACACATCGTGAGCATTCATGGCAGTTGTGACTCCTTTATTCAAGTCCGTGTACACAGAATCAAACAGATTGAAAAGTTAGAGTCGGAATGTTCTCCTCTGGTTTCTGGTGTTGCTTGTTTTTGATTTTTGATGTTTTCTTTCCATTTTTCATTTATTAATAATAAGAGAAAAGTTAAGTTTGCCTGAGTTTGATGGTCCTCCAAGTGTAGTATCTTGGTGGTGTGTCTGTATGTGGCTGTGGAGCCCTATTCTTGATCCACATGTTCTCCCACAGTGAGGACATCGGTTTCCAGGTGGAAGACACTCCCAGTCAGGGTTGGCTTGACGCATCTTCCTCTTGGCGCATTTCTCCCTTTCGCCCTCTATTTGTACCTCTTCAAGTTCTGCAGCACTGCTGGTCGCAGCTGACCTCCAGTTAGAGTGCTCAAGGGCCAGGGCTTCTCAGTTCTCAGTGTCTATGCCAGAATTTTAAGGTTGGCTTTGAGCCCATCTTCAAATCTCTTTTCCTGTCCACCAACATTTACTGTATTGTCGAAGGCTTTCATGGCTGGAATCACTGGGTTGTTGTAGGTTTTTTCGGGCTGTATGGCCATATTCTAGAGGCATTCTCTCCTGACGTTTCGCCTGCATCTATGGCAAGCATCCTCAGAGGTTTCCTGTTTTTGAGTTTGGAGTAGAGTAACTGCTTTGGGAGACGGTGATCAGGCATTCAGACAATGTGGCCAGTCTAGTGGAGTTGATGGAATAGGAGTATCGCTTCAGTGCTGTTGGTCTTTGTTTCTTCCAGTATGCTGACATTTGTCCACTTGTCTTCCCAAGAGATTTGCAGGATTTGTCAGAGGCAGCGCTGATGGAATCGTTCCAGGAGTTGCATGTGACGTCTGTAGACAGTCCACGTTTTGCAGGCATATAACAGGGTTGGGAGGACAATAGCTTTATAAACAAGGACCTTGGTATCCCTTACTTACTTACTTAGACGATCCCTCATTGGACGAGTAGGATAGTCTTCCAGGGTCAGTATTCTTGTGGGTCCGTAGGTGACTGTGGAGCCCTATTCTTGACCTGCAGTGCGGGCATTGGTTTCCAGGTGGAAGGCGGTCTCGTTCGGGGTTGGCTTGACACACCTTCCTCTTGGCACATTTCTCCCTTTCACCCTCCATTTGTGCCTCTTCAAATTCTGCAGCACTGCTGGTCACAACCGACCTCCAACAGGGGCGCTCAAGGGCCAGGGCTTCCCAGTTCTCAGTGTCTATGCCAGAGTTTTTAAGGTTGGCTTTGAGTCCATCTTTAAATCTCTCTTCCTGTCCACCAAGATTCGGTTTTCCGTTCTTGAGTTTGGAGTAGAGCAACTGCTTTGGGAGACGGTGGTCGGGCATCCGGACAATGTGGCCAGTCCATTGAGTTGATGGTGTAGGTGCATTGCTTCAGTGCTGGTGGTCTTTCCTTCTTCCAGCACACTGACATTTGTCCACCTGTGTTCCTTAAAGATTTGCAGGATTTTTCGAAGGCAACACTGATGGAATCGTTCTAGGAGTTGCATGTGACGTCTGTAGACAGTCCACATTTTGCAGGCGTATAACAGGGTTGGGAGGACAATAGCTTTATAAACAAGCACCTTGGCATCCCTACAGATGTCTAGATCCTCAAACACACTCTGTTTCAATCAGAAAAATGCTTCACTCGCAGAGCTCAGACTGTTATATTTCAACGTCAGTGTTGACTTTGGTGGAGAGGTGGCTGCCAAGGGAGCGGAAATGGTCAACATTTTCTAATGTTACACCATTAAGCTGTATCTCTGGCATTGGAGAGGGACTGGCTGGTGTTGTATTTGAGCGTCAATGTTGCCTTTTATGGAGAGGTGGGATGACAAGGTAGAGGAAATGGTCAACATTTTCTAA